CAGGATGCTGTAAACGGACCAAACTTCAGTCAGGAGAACAACTGAGATAATCCATCCACAATACGAGGTTAGTCATTAATATACTGCAACAACATGGGAATAGAGCAGCTGCCAGAGAATTCAACATTAATGAATCAATGGTACAGAAGTGGAGGAAGCAAGAAGAATGAGTTTAATAAAGTTTGATTTATCTGACTGCTTTGTTTCGCTTAATGTGCCTTATAATCCCGTGCACCTTATGGTCCGAAAAATGCGTACTGCACACTGCAGTTTAATGTTGCAAAGCACCTCTTTTTAACTTCAGTGGATATTATACATGGTTATGCTCAGGATATGTCAGCCCATTTCTACTGGAAATGCCTTTTGGTTAAACTTTCAGCAAGGAATTTGCATTTGCACTGTTACATTTTATAAAGCTTTAATGTACATAAAAACCAGCTTCTTGTTTAAGTGAAAATAAATGGAAGGTTGTCTTTTTGCGCTAGTAATGTTGTGGAGTTGTATTTTGTCTCGCATCAATTATATCGTCGGTTATATCGTTATCGCAAATTTTCAAATATATATCGTGATAAATATTTTTGGCCATATCGCCCTGCTCTATCTGCAAACATAGTATTGTGCAGAAGTCCTGAACCTCTTTAATTTTTTATATTTTGCTAGGAAAATGACAAATTGGTGCAGTGATGTATTGATACATGGAAATACAGTTAATTTTAAAAAAAGTTTGTACAGTTTTAACAATCTTGAAAGTCAGCGTTTGGTATGGCCACCTGTATTCTTCAAAACAGCCTGAACAAGTATTCCTGTAATTTCTTTAGGAATAGCTCTCCAGACTTCTTGAAGGACATTCAAAGGGCTTCTTTGGATGTTGGCTGTCTTTTCTAGTGTTCTCTGTCAAGATGATCCCACACTGCTTCAATAATGTTGAGGTCTAGGATCTGAGGATGCCAATCCATGAGCGACAATGCTCCAATGGGAATTTTTCTATCAAGGTACTTTTACTGCATTAGCAGTGTGTTTGGGATCATTATTAAACTGAAAAATTAAACTGTTAGTAATTGAATGCTTTCCAGACAGTATTGAACGCTGGATCAAATCCGATAGTACTTTTCTGTGCGCATGTTTCCATGAATTTTTACAAAATCCCCAACACTGAAATGTCTCCATCATATTTTACAAATGGCTGTAGATACTGTGTTGTACCTCTCTGCTGAACACCTCCATACATTTTTTCCATTTCTTAAATACGTGACTTTCATTTACTGTAGACAGATTTTTAGACCTATCACTTCTTCTTTACTCCACTTGTCCAGTTTTATGAACCACACACTGCACACCACATGGAGACATGCCAAGTTTTGAGCTAATGGACACTTTCAGAATCACCTTGTTCATGCAAAAATAGTATTTTTTGTCTGTCAAACAGTGTTATTGTCATAAATTTCACTGACTAAAGAACTGTGAAGAAATTAATTTTTTGTGACAGTGGGTGTGTCTGCTGGTAACAAAAATTAGCTACGGTATTTTAATGTATTTCTTTGACGCATTTTTCATGCTTGAAATGTCTTAAAACTACTTAAAAATTACAAGAAAGTCAAAATGTTGTGAGTGCAGTAGGTCTGAAAGACCTCCAGACTGCTGACCCGATATTTGGATGGGAGCAATAACAAAATGTCGCATCACTCCTTCCCAAAGCTAAAATATAACAGTTAATCAGCCTTGATGGTGAGCAGCAGTACCTGCAGCGAGGTGGACCTCTGCAGGATCTTATTCTTCAGGGCACCGTTAGCAGAAACCTTCTCCAGAAGCTCAGCGTGCATGGGGTCAGAGGACAACGCCTCACTCAGCATGATGTCGTGACTGCTCAAGAGTCGAAACTTTGACCTACAGCACAATAGGATTCACTTCAATATCATAATCATCATCCATCCACTTTTTCCGCTTATCCAATTCAGGGTCACATGGGGCTGAAGCCTATTCCAGATGTCATAGGACTAGAGGCGGGGTAAAGTCTGGACTGTTGACCAGTTGCAGGGCTCATAATCATGTGATATTGCCATTAGGGCTGCACATAAATAAAGAGGCCTTTCTGTTATACTTCAGATATTCAATACTTTCTTCACAATCACTTATTTGTAGGTGCTCGCTACTCTATCAACGCTGACACACTGTGTAAGACACACAATATACTAAAGTGCATTAAACAAAATTTATTTCATGTACTAAAACCTTTTTATTTCTGGCCTGTTTACAGACTGTAATGTATCTTAAAAAAACTGAGACTTTATCCAACTCTCTTCATTATCTTTAACAGCCTGTGGAGTGAAGCTGGGTTTGGCTTTTTACTCAAAAATCTAAAAAATGCACTGCTTATGCTCGCTTCTAAGCGCATTAATGCCTCTCTCTTCTGCTCCAGGCATCAATAGTGAGCAACACTATCTAACATCCACTAATTATTAACTTCAACCAAACAAACACAGATGTGGCTCTGCATATTATTTTGCCAGTGATAAAGTTATCAAGCAAGCTAAAGTTAATCCAGCTTCTGGCTGGTGATTGGCCTAACCTGCGGTAGAAGGTAGCGAGTCCTTCATGCTGCTTCTCTTTGACCTTGAAAACACCGTTCAGACCAAAGGCATCCAGCGCTGGAGTCAGACTGTCCACATACACTCCTGCAGAGGTCAGCGAGCACAACTAATGTCAAAGATTTTTTTAAATCATCAGTATTTTTGTGTTTTTATCAGTGATTACCTTTATCGACCTCCTGCAGACAGATAATGTCGCAGTTGTACCCAGCAAGCTCCTTTTTGATCAGGTTCTGTCTGTAGTCCAGCTGCAGGGCGTAGGGGGCGCAGTACGGGTACAGCACCGTCTTGGAAAGGTCCGTTTGGGCGTAGATGTCGGCGAGGATGTTGTACGACACCACTCTCACAGTCGGCCAGTCCGTGACTTTGGCTGTGAAAGCATGACGGTTGTCAAACAAGCACACACCTGGTCCAGCCTCCACAGCTCCCACAGAAACCAGCTCCTTGGCCAGGCCACCACGGCTTCCATCTTTGGGTGTGCAGCTCAGTTTGAGCCTGAAGCTGATGTCCTGATTGGATGGGATGTAAACTCTCTCACATCCAACCTGAGTCCAACCACTGTCCTGATCTGAAGCTTTACCAGGAGCTTCAGACCTGGAACAAGAGCAAAGAGAAGTAGATTGCAGGATGTCAAATCAATTTGATTATTAATGTGCCCAAACAATCACCTGATTTATAACAAAATCAGAAAAGGCAGCTGTACAGTTCTACACCCAGGGTGTTAAAAATACTTCAGTTTAAAGGTTTGTTTACCCTTTGGCAAACTTATCGATGTTTTTGTGTCAATAAAACAGCTTGGTAGAGATGAGCAGACCTTCCTCAGACCCAACACTCGCCTGATAAGACCGTGTAAGGCATGTAGTTCTTGAAACAGCTGGATTGCACCACACAATCTCTGCTTCACATTTACACCTTCTTTTCTGGGTATTTACCTCGTGTGTGGGCAGTTTTCTCTGAACCAGGTGAACTCGCAGTCCTGGACGTTCCCAAACTCCACCTCCAGTTTGGGGCAGACGGGGAAGCCGGCCAACAAGGACACCGGTAGCTCTGCGGTGGTGAAGGTGGGCGCGTTCCTCTGCACTGAATATTTAACATCTCCCACCTGCAGCACGGAGCCGTCCTGCCAAGCCTCCGCGTTCAGCACCGTCTCCGGCACCTCTTCCCCATCGTAGAACAGCTTCACCACGGTGGGCTCCGCAGCTTCATCCGGCTGCTCCTGACCCCGGTTCTTCTTGGATTTCTTTGCTTTTGATTGGTTCTTGGCTATCCCGTTGGAGATGCGGGCCAGGACCTTGCCCAGCGGCTCGTCCTGGTCCCGGAGCATGTGCTTGTGGCTGCCCTGCAGACAGAAGGAGATGGTCAGCTTGGGCTCCCCGGGGAGGCACCTCACCACGGCCGCTTCCATCCTGCAGAGGCGGCGGAGGGCTCCGGAGAAAGTCCGTGGGGAGAAAGCGGGTAGTCGGCGGGTGAAGAGCGTTAGAGCAGTGGAGAGGTGGTTCAACATGAAGGCCCCGTCGGCAAGAACAGGAGAGCAGGGCTGAACGGGAGAGTACCTGGACAGGTAACGTTAACGGTTACCAGCAGGTAGAGCTGTCAGTAACTGCACCGGTTAGCCCGATGCTAATCAGCTGGAAACCAACCCCAACAGGAAACCGTTAAAATTACGTGTTTATTCAGGTCCGGCTCTGTAGATTAAAACTAAACATGACACGTGGTTTTTAGATAAAGCTGCTGGTTCAGATACGAGTTTCAATATTTACAATTCATCTGTAAGTTCAGTAACAGGCAGCACTTTCCTCATCTGAGCGTGAGATTCTTCTTCTTTGGCTGGATGTTTCGTCTCACAGGCTTCAGAGCGCCCCCACTGGACAGAATCAGAATTACTTCAGTGCAGAGACTCGTTTACTTTACTGTGATTGTGATACTCCTGCTACACCTATAAGAAACATAAGCTATATATTTTTAAGGTCATATAACTTTCTAACTAACTTTCTGCTTCTTAATTCAGATAAAACTGAGGTTATTGTACTCGGCCCTGAAAATCTTAGAAATATAGTATCTAACCAGATTCTTACTCTGGATGGCATTACCTTGGCCTCCAGTAACACTGTGAGGAACCTTGGAGTCATTTTTGACCAAGACATGTGCTTCAACGCACATATTAAACAAATATGTAAGACTGCGTTCTTCCATTTGTGCAACATCTCTAAAATTAGAAATATTCCGTCTCAGAGTGACGCTGAAAAAGTAGTTCCTCTAACCAAATTGTTATTTTCTTTTTGTATTTCACTGAAGAGACTAGTACATATAGCTGACATACACCTAGCTTTATAAACAATTATTATGCTATGTCTTCAAAAGCAAAAAATTTAATCAAACACTACAAATATAAAAGAAACCAGAGTTTTTATTTTATATTTTTATTAAGACAAAAACAGAAATCCTCTCATGGGTAAATTACAAAAGTTTAGAAATGTCAGTTTAAAAAAAAAATTTCATCCTGGGCTGAGAGTATGTCACACCAGGTTTGGTGCCAGCTATCAGGTCAGCTGCATTTCACTTTTTCAAAACTGTAACTTTTAAAAGTCTGTCCATCACCTCACTGCCTAACCTACATAACATTTTTCTCAGTGAGGTTTTCCACGCAGTACTGTTCCAGGTGTTCAGGGCTTTTTGGGAAGTAGACGTCGGCTTTGTGCTCCTCGTCATGCTCAATGTGTTTCAAGTGGATGAGCATGTGCAGGGCATAGGCCAGCACCAGCAGCAGGATGAGGGAGGTGACGAGGCCCATCAGGATGGCTGGCGTCAAGAAGGTGGTACAGTCGCTCGCAGGAGAAAACTTTCCTGAGGTGACGCTGAAGGCCTGAATCTGAGGAGAGCATAGAAACATTATAAAAAACAAACAAACAAGTAATGTTCTCAATATGCTTCTGGCTTTATATCACATCACAGAGAGCAGGTACCCTTAATACAGTCATCTCAGAACCTCCTGCTGGTCTAACTTTATCTTTATGAGAGGCACGAAATTTGCCTTAAACCGAGAGGAGCTGAGGGGCTGCACTGTGGTCCAGGATAAATCAAATAAACCTATTCTGAACTGTGAATCATGCAAAGCTATTCTAGCAGCCCAAGTAGTCTGAGCATAAAAACCCAGAGCTAGAATTTATTATGCACTCATTAACGTGATACAACTAGCTATAACCTCAGGAGGGGGTGATTGCTTTTTTCGCTGTGGTGATTTAAATATTGGAAAACCGTTTCAAAACCCTTTAAAACTTGCATTTTTCATTAAATTTTGTTTGTTTCTATTTTTGTATTTGTCCAATTAGAAACTGGTCATTTTTAAACTGTATTGTGCCCTCTACCCGCTCACCTGTGTAAATCTTGTACTCTGCCAGTCTCTGGGTCTGTGAGCTGACAGTACACTGCTGTTTTCCCAGCTTTGTGTTTGCTCATTTCGACATTCAAGTTCAAGATGTGTTAACAAAGTATTGAACTAGAGAGAAAATGACCCTTAACCACAAAAAACACTGAAAAATTAATAAATGTTCTAACAAGACTTTGTTATGTCTTCCAGACACCACACAAGAAATGAAACATCCTCTTGAAGAATCAGTCAAAGACAGGGTAAAGAGACGGGTACCTGGAAGTCTGTAAAAGTGATGGACCAGCGGCGGGCTTGGTCAGTGCCAGGTAGCAGCAGGGCACTGTATCGCTCCAGGCTGCTGACGTGGATGCAGCGGTAGGAGGAGGAAGCTGGAGCGTACACCTCGCTGGCATTGAACGCAGCCTCTTCAGAAATGTTGTAGAGCAGCGAGACGCTGTCCACCGAGAACCACCACTGCCCCGAAGACTCATAAAAGGTGTTGGACAGCTGCAGTCTGATGAAAGAGAGGCGAGAGGAGACAGTCAGGGCAAATGTTCATGTATTGTGTACAAACTGCTTAGTGTGATCATATTTGGTGGCATAGCTAACCTGATGGACAGGCCTTTCAAATCCTCCACATCTCCAAACCTCATGACCAGCCTACAGAGGAACAAAGAGACAAGTAAGACTCTCAGATGTACAGCACAACTGGACCTTTCCTTACAGGACACACTGCATTGTTCTTGTCTTTTAATTGGGATTAAAATCTTCGTGTTAGACCCTCTGACATTTCTCATACAAGTAGACAGACAAGTAGGAGGTGCACTTACGTGGCTTTGTCCTTGCGACAGACAGACTGACTGGTGTCGACAGGTTTCTGAGGAGAAAAGGCTCGCTCTGTGAGGTCCAGGTGTTTCTGCTTGTCATAGCGGAGAGACAGTTTCCTGGCCTGGAACAAGAGGCACGGCTGCCCATCAGACAACACCTGGTGGGCAGGTACAACCGGTTAGAAAAGAGTAAATTTAAAAACCTTCTTTCGAAATTGAATATACGGTATAATATATTATTTATTATAATATATATTTTCTCCAACTGATTGTGTTGGAGAAAATGTTACTCATGCTCACTGAACCTTTAGAGGAGGGAGGGGAACTGCAGCTCCTGGTGTCTGAAGTAATTTCCTGCGTGATGCATCTGAAGACTGGAGGCAGGAAGAAGCAACCTTCCATGAAACAACTTCTTAAAGCCAAACTTTCAATTTTTATGTAAAGGCATTAACTGTTTTTGCAGTTTCATGTCTGTTTGGTTTTTTGTTTGTTTGTTTGTTTGTTTGTTTGTTTGTTTTAATAAAACGTGTTTTAATGAGAATTTTGTGGTTCATAAATTCCAGCATTTTCCTGGTATGCTTCTGAAAACAGGAATCATCATTTTCTCAGAGAGGACATGATTTTTCTCCCACTCTTACAACCTTGTTTCCAAAAAACTGTGAGGTTTGTTAAATTTAAACAAAGATTTAATTTTTTTTATTTGTTGGAAAAGAAAGTTAATCTGCCGATATATACACGATGAACCTAACACAAAAATTTAAGTCATGTTTCAAGATGGTACAGTTGACATATGTGACATTGTGGCTGCACATTTTTAGATTAGGATTAAATTGTGACATGTCTTTCATTTATTAACATTCTCAGCACCTAAATGGTTAAAAATCAGTAAAACTTTAATAGAAAGTTGTGGCGTTACATTTTTCCCTCCCCACTCATATTTTACCTGCAGTTGTCCAAGTCCTCTCTCTGCTGGTATCAAATATTGCTCTGCCTTCACCCTCCCATTGCTCCCAATGTCTGCAGAGACAACAGGATTTGTTTAACAAAATAAGCCATAAGAATACACATGTTATACCTTTAACCTTTTATACTAAAACATGAGAAATATAAACAAATCAAAACAGATTTCCAAACACAATGCTGCACTAGAGGGTAGCTTTTCAGATCTTCCTACACCCCTTTTCCACAATGACCACTCCGTACACAGAGGTGTAGGAAATAGTTTACACCCCTGTTCCCTCCTCCGTTAGGCATCATCATTATTACATATATTGTTATAACTGAGATAAGGAGGAAGAAGTAAAGGAAGTCTTAGCAGATTGATAAATAGATCTCACCGTGTTCCAGAGAAACGGCAGCACTGCAAAAAGAATTGAAAGGAGAATCAGTAAAATATTTATCATTGTCATTTCTTCATATTTGTCATCAGCACAGTTTTTTTTCCACTAGTTATTTTTCTTCTGTAACTTTATTTTTATGTAATGAAATACGTGAAATCAATTAATCATCTTATGGGGAAAAAATTAATCTCTATAACATGATTGTGAAATATTAAATAATTTACTGTCTCATACGAATTGTGTTTATTCTGAACAAAAAACAATCAAAGAAAGTGAAAGTATGTTTAAAAGAGTCTGATTCACTCATATTTAACTGGTTGAGATACTTAAGCAACCATTAGCAACTTTTACAACTTTGAATCCTTTTAACCTTTTAACAATCATACACCAAATAAAATATACACATGACACTGACATTAAACTAGTTTGTGCTCACAAAGGTACTGGACCGTCATAAAAGCTTAATTCATGTGTCTAATGTGGACCATCAGCCACATCTAAACCACCAGCTGTCCTTCTCTGCCCACTTTGGTAGCCTAACACCTGCAGGCACCTTTTTGCCCCTTTTTGCTGATATGATGCCAGTGCCCAATCGAAAACCAGTTTTAAAGATTTGCACCAGTGTGACACTAGAAAACTGTTGGGCTACCTCATTAAATTCATCAGTGACCGATAGATGTAACCAGTGAATTCTGTTTGAGTTTCTCAGACTTCTGCTGGGAACATTGCATCATAATACATTTTCAGGCCCGTCAAAATGTGGCCTGGTTCTCAAAAGGCACCCTGGCAGAACCGGTTCGGCTCCAGCTTAGGTGTGCTTACATTTTGCAGTTGAACTGGATTCAAAAAGTTTGAAAGAAGTCACAAATACAGATCAGACACATTCAAGATAAAATAGTCTTGATTTCACAAACTGATCTAGCTGCCGATTGTTTTGCATCTGACTCTATTCACGCAGAGAGTGTGGAGGGACTTATCAGACGGCTCTTGCTCCTTCTTGTAAAACATCAACTTTAAAAGCAAACTGATGATTGGTGTTATTCACCTTCATTTCTCAGATTTGTGCATAATGCAAGAATGACATCATTCCAAATCACCCAATAGAAATCAAAGCTAAAGAAGGGAGGAACCTGTGTAAGTGCTCAGAGTACACCTGAGTGACCCGGCTGCTGACCTGCTGGATTAGTTAAAATAGCAGTGATCAGTCTGGCACAGAGGTGGGTAGTTGTTGCGAGGATACACTCTGACCCAGATTACACACAGAGTCTTGTAGCAGAAACAATAATGGACTGAGATCTAATGCTAGAATCAAATTGGCATCAGGTCTGATTGACGGTTTTCTTTGTAAAAATTGAAGGTTTTATATGATGACTCCAGAGCTGGTTCAGATCGATGTGCTGGATCAGGAAACAACAACAAGGTTAAAGCTACAGCTCATCCTCTTTTTAATCTGGAATTACAGAAAATATGTATCGTTACAATAAAAACTTAAAATAATAAAGAGGGAGTGGAACCAATCCGATTGATGTTAATGATTCATTTGTTGCCTAATAATGACCACTGAGAAAACTACACAAAGGTCATCAGCCAGGGTTTAGTGGACAGCGGGAGAGATGTCAAACATTGTCTTGAACCACATATACAACCACCTGCTGTGCCACCTGTCAAAGGACATCTGAGCAACTCCACCTGTATAAAGAAATCCTGAGATGCTGTTAAGAGCAGCAGAGAGGTGTGACCCTGCAGGCTGACCACAGCCTGTTTTAAACAATGAAAGGAGCACAGGTGGAAAAAATAACAAAGAAACCATTTTAGAAAAACTGTTTTACATTTTGATGAATAATTAAAAAACACATGAGGCCAAAAAAAAGGCCCAGATTGAACTTTTCTATATCAAGGCCTCAATGTTTTTCCAGGCTGCCGTTCTCCAGTTTTTGTGAATTCTAGCCTCAGTTTTCTTTTCTTTTCTGAAAGGAGTGGCACCCAGTGTGCTTTTCCTCTGATGGCCCATCTGCTTTAAGGTTTGATGTGTTCTTCAGTCACAGATGCGCTGCTGCATGCCTCGGTTGTAATAAATGGTTATTTGAGTTGCTGTTGGCTTCCTATCAGAACGAAGCAGTCCATTCATTCCCTTTTAACATCAGCAAAGCATAGAAAACTATTTCCCACTGAACATTTTCTCTTTTTCAGATCATTCTCCGCAAACTCGAGATATGGTTGCCATTCCAGGTTCAAAGTCATGTAAAGCACCTTTCTTTCTCACTGTGATGCCTGGTTGTGTTGAGTTGCTACCATGTGATTGGCTAATTAGATATTTGCTTTAAGGAGCAGCAGAACAGGTATACCTAATAAAGTGCCTGGTGAGTGTAGTTGCTTCCTCATTCATGATTTAAAAAAGTAAAATACCAGGTTAATCAGTCTTGCTTAATGCTAACTATTTTAGTTAGCCGATCAATAGCTGTTATCTATGTAGACCTTCCATGATTTATTGATTAGTTTTAAATAACACATCTAAATATGCAATATGTAAGAATATATATATATTTGAAGATTAATGATTAATAGTCAAAAGCTCTCAGATTAAGGTTTTACAGCTCAGCCACGAGCCTTTAATCTTTAAATCTTATTCCTTACTGATGCTGTAAAGCAGTGGTCAGAATATATGAGCAGAAAGTACAAGACAGCTACCAACAAATTAAAGTTTTGAAGTTGCATTTAGATTCTTTACATTTTCTGTAGATTTACAGTTTCACAGGCTTGTACTGCTTAACATGATTTGTTTGACTATTACAGGTACTGATGAGATATTTCATGCACAAGAGGATAGAACATTGCTGCTCTACATTAAGCGCTCTTAAGTGTCCTACAGTCAGGACCTCTGCTAAAAAATTCTACTATATTAGTGTGGTACCAGTACTTAAGTAAAATACATACATGTGCTGCTTCTACCCATGAGTATGTTTAACTTCTCGGTCTGTTTGCCATCACTGTACACAGGCTAATAAATCTGCACAAATTTTCTGCTCAATGATTTTGTAATTTTAGTTTCTCTTTTGGTAAAAATATGTGTATGTTTAGTAGTCATTTCACATTATTTAACAGCCGGTATGTACAATACAAGCATGCATTTACTCTGGGCAGTGACTTTGTTTCTTTAAAGCTGCAGCCTGATTTCTGAATAATCTGCTAAAATTGTCCAGCTATGGATAATCTAATCTAAATGAGCCAAGAGCACGTGGATTTCTGTATGGGCACTCTCAAGATCAAAATCCTCTCAGAGAATGGAAAATAAAATGCAGCACATACTGAATGTATTTAAATGTACATCAGGTCAGAGAATCAGACAATAGAGCGATCAAATCCCCTTCACTCAAAGAGCCTCTTCAGCCAAAAACAAGGTTTAGCTGCTCTCTTGTGCTGGGTCAGGGCACTGGGCTGTGGATTGTGGGATTGCACTGTTTGCATAATCATACAATCACAAGCACACAGACCCCGAGGATGAAGGATGGGGTGGCTTGCAGCCAGAGAAGACTTTACAGCTTCTCAATCCTTTACCATCAACAGCTGCACACTGTGAAATGCAATAAACAGCTGCTGATGCACACACTCAAAAGACACGGGGCAACGTAATCATCCTATTGGGGTCGAGTTTAAGGCAAGTATCACCAGGCGAAAGCAGACACTGAATGATTTTGTAAACATCTGCCATATGTTTAATGGCTTACTGGAGAGAAAATAACAGTTAAATCACCACATACGGCTGGCGTGATTCTACACATTAGTTGTACTAAAACACAGATTAAAAACAAAGAAACAATCTGAAATAGATGAAACGGAGGTGCCTGAGTCTCCTCTGGCTTTTAGCCTCAACTAGGAATTACTAACAGACTTCTGCTGGATGAGCTGGAGCTCGTTAGTGTGTCAGAGATATAATAAGTAAGCTGGCAGGTAGAAGGAACAAAGAGGATTAAACAAACAAGAGTCAGGATAAAATCTCTGTGAGCAAGAGGCAGAAAACAAAGGCATGATTGCTGGTTTGTATTAAGAGGTGTTGTGAGGTCACTGGAAGCAAGTGAGGTGGGTGACTGCTGACCATCGACTGATAGACTTGAATTAAAGCATTAGTGGAGGTGTCTTAAACATTTTGTTCTTTTAATGGTCGACTCTGGCTGCAAAAGGGTATGAAGGGAAAAACAGACCTTCTGCTCACTTTAATTTATTATCCTGTGATCATGTTCCAGATAAATTTTTTGTCCCAGTCACTTGATTCAAGTCTCTTGATACAACATGATGTTAATTTTTTACATTACTGGCCCCATCAGTGAGCAGACTGGCAGCAAAACAGGGTAACAGTGACTGTGGCCATCTTTCATATACAGTCTATGGTATAGACTGAAAGGGATGAAAGATTAAATAAGCCGAAATAAAAACAGGATATAAATAATGAAATATTTAGGATGTGCAGGAAGGAAGGTTGAACAAATGTGTATAACGTGAGATGATTCTGTTTGCTAAACAGAAAACAGACACGTATAACATACTGAATTTTTTTTTTTAAATAACTGGTGAAAATGTATTCATTTCACTCCATGTGACCACAGACTGTATAGAAAAGATGGACATGCACACCGTGATGTCACACACCGTGATGTCACTCATTGGCTCTAGAAACCACTTTGGTTTTGGTTGTCACCATGCTTTATTTTGGTAGCCAGAAGTGACCAGCATGACATACATGTTAACAGGTTTATTTAGAGACAGGCATCAATAAAACTATACATTTGTGACACTAATACCTGTTAATCAGTGTTGGACAGACTGTGGCACACAGTGGCACTGTATTATTTGTCATATAATTTCATTAAAAATGCGCCAAATGCTCAGTTTTTAGCACTTGTGCATTGCCTTCATTTTTACCACTTGTATTTGATGCAGAAAAAAAAGAGTCTGTTACCATCAACGGCAAAGAAAAAGAGTAATAGAAACTGAAAATAAACAAAGCATGACCATCGGTTTGGAAATTCAAGTAATAGAGAGAGCGCCAGGATTAAATGTGGTCCATTCAATCAGCATTACTTTTGCTAGATCAGTACTTAAACAACTTCCATACTTATTATCAAATAAAAATCTGTGTATTTTAATTAATGGAGCTGAAAAAAACTGTTCCCACTTTAAAGAAACCAGGGGCTTTTAAATGTGAATAAAATGATTCTGCTGAAAATGACTCCTGTCTTACTGCTGATGGCATCTCAAAGAAACATTATATGTCATTAGACAGTGTCATCATGCTTTATTGTAGTAATTGGGGACTTTGTTTGGCCACAAAGAACTCTTGCAAGCTCTGCACATCACCAAAGTGTTCCAGCCTGTTTTAGGTCCTGATTTTGGTTTGATAATGGCATGCTAACTCTTTGCTCAAGGCTCATTGTCTCCAGATTAAGCAGGTATCTCATTCTCAGGCTTTGGTGGAGCTAAAAGTGGGGCTTAGTTTAATCACATGGACACACACACACACACACACATTAGTACAAAAGGATGATAATGTTACTCTGTGTGTGCTAGATGTGAAAGTAGGTATCTGTTTACAGGAAAAGTTGCCGAGCTTGTTCCTCTGAGCTCAAATTAAAAATAAATAAATAAATGCTGTACCATAGCACTACATGAGGTGTAGTGAGTAGAAGGTTGTGGGTGAGCATAGCACAAATCAGAGATTAGACAGTTAGGAGAGGTCAAAAACAAACATAAAGCTACTACACCTGCTCTGTTTGTGTTTGTCCACATACCTGTCTGCAGGTTGTTGGTGGAGGCAGGCAGACGCCTGCAGATGGAGGAAGAAGAGGAGGATGCAGCAATGTTTCCCTGGTGAAGCCATCGCCGTGGTGACCAGAGTCTGATGCCAGCATGCGCTCTCTCTCCCTCCCTGCCCATCCTAATCTACTTTAATCTGCCCCATGCCTTTAAACCCCCCTGACAGATGGCAGAATTAGCCAATCACAGGACACAGCAGTGGCGAGCAGTGCCAGGAGCCCCGCCCACAGGTCAAACACACTGTTGTTCCCTCAGTTTATCATTTTCAGGTCAGCTCAGTCAAAATATATTTAATGTCTGGAGATTAAAGGCAGCAAAATGATGATTACATAAAACAAAGCACTGGTCAGCTGTCCGTCTGTAAATATGTTTGTCGTGTATGAAAGGTGTTCAGATGCACTGTTACAGGGATACCAGTGAATGAAATGTACACAATACAGTTACAATAACAATGCATTACCGGCAGGGAAACAGTGGCTTGTGGATCACATCTGGCCTTTCTGATTTTATTGGATTTGTTGCTGTATGTACCAGATTTAGTTTTATATCAACAGTACTTTAGTAAACAGTGTAGTAAAGTAAAGACAGAATGAAGTTTAAGCCTCTTATAAATAAACAAAAAATAGGTTTTGTGTTCGACTCATTTGTTGCAGATGCATTTTATCTGTATTTTTAAGATTCAACATTATTTATTTATTTAAAGCATAGAAGCTTAAACTTAATTCTGTCTTTACTTCACTACACCATTTACCAAAGTATCTACAGTATATCTGTATCTACAGTTTATACAGTATTAATAATAAGTGGATGAGTTTCACTGGTGGTCTAGTGTTTAGGATTAAGGCAGGTACATGCACAGGGTTTGTGTGGCAGAAGAGGATGCAAGAGATAGGAAGAGATGCAGGAAGACGATGTGTGGTGGTGATGACTAAATGGGGCAGCTGATACAAGAATATTCACACATTCTATGAAGGAATCAGAAAAACTCGGATATCTGTGAATTGGTGCTAATAAAATGCTAGAATTTCACTCACCAAAATCTTTACCTCACAGCAAGTGATTTTATTTGTCAGATAACGGCATATAATCCCCCAAATGGGACTAACAAGGTCAAGATGTTCATACTTTTGTGTTATTGCCTGGTGATTATCTTCATGCATCGTTTTTTAAATCAGACTAACCTCTCTAAGGACATTTCCAGCTTTTCCTGGTAAATCTCACACACAGCATTCTTGGTTTTAATCAACAGCCTGATCGTGTCCTGCACTGACCTTCTCGGTCACCTGCTTATCTCAGTAATACAGACACATCATTGTCCTAACTGTTCACATAGAGCTAAATTTTGCTGCTGAGCAGACATTGTGAGTGAAGGTCTTGTCATCAGTGCACCAGAGATGCAAGGATCAGAGGTAGTGACAGTAGAAGAGTTTAAATACCTGGTGTCAACCATCCAAAGCAATGAACTGTGCAGAAAAGAGTGGAAGAAGAGAGTGCGACAGAAAGATTGAAAGGGGAGGTTTATAGGATGATAAGAGGCCTGATATTATGTATGCTTTGAAGGTGAAGGTGCTAAGATTTTTGCTGCAAGTTACTTGAATAATCCGGATTAGAAATAAGTTTATCAGAGGGATACCTCAGATGGACATTTAGAGGAGGGGTAGTGGGTATATTGGACAAAAGTGGGAAAAGAAAGACCACAGTGAAGATTCAGGTTTTGCTTTAATTTGTCACATGTGTGAACTACATGCTCTGTCCGCTAGAGGGCACTAACAAGACACCCATTAGCCGTTAATTGCAGGTTTAGATATCCAATTATTTGGTTTCGCTCTAATTTCAGTTTTTAAATAAAAACAATATAGTAAATTACTCAGAAACTGAGAAAACGGGAGGGTCGGGAGTGATGAATATGATAATAATAGTGCGACTGACTGAAAGGGAGATAAAAAAAAAAGTGAAGACAAAAATAAGAGAAGGAAATTAGCAGCTCTCAATAATAAAACTACACTGGTTTTACGTATAATTACCAAATTCTAAAATGAGTCCAAATTCTTTGTTTTGCAACAATTAAATGTGAAAACATTGGCCTGAAATGGCATAATTTTAATCAGGCATATATCGTGGCAACGCCCAACCGGGGGCCTCGGTGTAGACATCGCCGCGGTGCATCCTGGTTCCTTCCTTTCCATCCCAGGCTCGCTCAGCAATCATGGGTACGTCTGAAAGTTAATCTCAAATACCCCAAAAATGTGACTTCTGTGGGGGGTTTTCACAACAGTGCCGCGTATAAAGGTCTTACGAACAGATTTAAACTCGTTTGTGTCGGTAAAACTCTGCAGATTATTTTTAAAAAATCAGTTTTTATGCTGCTTTGAAACCGCAACGTGGAGCGGCCATAACATGTCTGAGCTGCTAGCGGCGTGTTAGCGGCATTAGCTCAGCACACCAAAGGTTCCCGTTACAGTTTAAGCTACCTGTCCCTTATTTTTGTTTTGTACTTGAATCGAAGATTTGCAAATGCCGTTAAAGTGATACCCGGTGGGGGTTAAGTGTCATTTTGAAAGCCGGAGGTTGTCTTTGTGAGAGCACCGAGCTTTAGCCGTTCTCTGCAGTTTTAGCCCAGCGCTTATCCAGCTCTCACTAATTTTGATATGTTGGCAAAATTCTGTTAAGTAAAACTTAACTGAAGCCCTGTCCTCACACTCATGGGAAGGATGCCTGACAAATCAGATTTCTGTTGAATAGGGACTGATAGTGAAATGTTTCTGCCCTGCGAACAGCGGGCTGAACAGTTTTTTTATGTACCCACCGAAGAGAAGCATCCGTGTTCCTTTTTGTCTTTCTCGTTAAGAAGTCCGTTTAATTGATCTACAGCATCACTGTGTTTGATCTTTCTCTTTTTTCCCCACAAAGACACTTGTTGTATATTAAAGAGGTGGTTTGATGTTTATTAGAACAGCTTTCTGGGTTTACAACGGTGGCCCTAGTAAGTTGTGATGAAGGGGTGTCTAGACTTTGGCTGCAATCTGTCCCTGGGCCAGACTTTTGACGTGCCTGCTGTATAGGCTCATCCTCATTAACTGATGCACAAATGGGGATGTTCTTAAGTTACCCCTAGTAGGTGTCCAAGGGGGAAAGAGTTAAGCATGACTCGGGAAGGTCTGAAGTACCATCTTAATGGTCGTACCCGAGTGTGCTGACTTTGGCTTTTTTCTTCTTTTTTTGCCCTCTTTCAGGAAAGTGTCGTGGTCTGCGTACTGCCAGAAAGCTCCGCAATCACCGGCGTGAGCAGAAATGGCACGACAAACAGTACAAGAAGGCCCACCTGGGCACTGCCCTGAAGGCTAACCCCTTCGGAGGAGCCTCTCACGCCAAGGGGATCGTACTTGAGAAAGTGTAAGTATCACAACAGCAGCTAACACTTGTAATTTAGGAAGATATAAAGTAGTTTTTGGTCTTTTGAGTTCCTCTTTATTAAATCCATAATCAAGGGTGTTTGGGTTTAAGTTAAAGAGCTTTGTACTTTTCCTCTCTGTAGTGGTGTGGAGGCCAAGCAGCCCAACTCTGCCATTAGGAAGTGTGTGAGAGTTCAGCTCATCAAGAACGGCAAGAAGATCACCGCCTTCGTCCCCAATGACGGTTGCCTCAACTTCATCGAGGTAAACGGCAGTGGCGAGTTTATTCTTTAGAGGATTGTTTATGTAGATTCTACAACATCGAGCCACCGTGTCCGCAATAGTCCAGTTTATGTGGACTTAAGTGTCTGTGTCTATGAAATGTCTAAGTTGCAGTAAACTACGGATTTTAACTCATTGTAATTTTCTTTTGGGCCCTTAAAAGTTCTTAAATGTATAATTTAGCTCTGTTCTCAATTTTCGCTCTTCTAACCTCTTTTGTTTCTATTTCTTGACCTGCAGGAGAACGATGAGGTTCTGGTGGCAGGTTTCGGACGTAAGGGTCACGCCGTCGGTGACATTCCCGGAGTTCGTTTCAAGGTGGTCAAAGTGGCCAACGTGTCTCTGCTGGCACTCTACAAAGGCAAGAAGGAGAGACCAAGATCATAAACAGTCAACGAATAAAATAAAATAAACACATTTTCAATTACAGCCTGTTTGCTTTGTTTTCATTTCACTGTGTTTTTAAGGCACAGTGAGTTAAACTGATGTTTTTGTTACTGTTAAGCAGTGAATCATGCAAACAGTTTTTGCTTGAATTTCAGGTTAAACTACATCAATATTACCAGAAACTGGCTTACGTTTAACATTTAATTCAGGCCAATAATGTCAGTCTTTTCTGTATATATCCTCAAAATAAGGACTTCAAGTAATTTTGTAAGATCTCATTAATGTGAACAGTAGCAAAAACAAGTTTCACATGAACATATTTTTGCGGTTTGGTCGTCATTTTGCACTCACCCTTTCATGTGACGTAAATAATTTAAAATATGTGGGCGACTCAACACACATACAGTCATTAAATACAGGGCTGGGATAATATAAAGGTTCTGACACTGATTTTGAATGTAGACACAGTTATACCTGATCTCAGATCAGAAAGCTGGGTCATAATACTGTGGATCAAAAATAAGTGAAGACATACAGACCTCCCCTTAATGTAAAAAGAACATGTTTTTGGGTTATACTGAGCAAAGTCTTCCAGTGGTTTATCCCCCAAAAGGAGCTTTTGAGTTCAGCAGAAGAAGAAAAAATCTAAAAGTGCTGCACGTTTCACAAAATGATGGCATTTTGTGGCCCAACCTGTGTTATTATTTTTAAGTTTTAAAAAAACAGGTTTCCAGTTACTTTGGTACTATGAGTGTTACACAATTAATACAAACAAATCAAAGATATTTTAAGAAGTGAATTTAAAAATAAAAACTACATTTAAAGGTACTTATTCTTTTAAAAATGGTATAAAAGCTGTTTCTATGACTTAATTTCCAAGGAGATAAACTAAAGCTGTATCTGTGCTGTCTGTGGTTTTAGTCTTATACCACTTTGTAACAGCAGATGCTGCAGTGAGTCTGTCATTTTTATTTAAGGAGGTCATTAAAAACACGTTCATTGATGGTGGTGCCCTGGAGAAATGAAATACCTCTTGAGAGAACGAGCTTCAAGCTAAAACAAATTTTTTTGAAAAGAAATGCCTAACGGTAACAGCTCATAACGTCTCAGTAAACACGGTGAAACGCTGCCCTCTGGTGGAAAAAGTTTGAATTACATTTTGCACTGATTAAAATAAATAAAAGTCACATCATGACACCAAGTCGTTTAAACTTCATGGATAACAAGTTGGATCCAGAAACCATTTTGAATCCATGACCACCGCTCTCTCCTTGTCCCTCCTGACTGCTTTGTCTAGTTTTGCTTTATGCTTGCGTCCTTGGCACTAATAGTGTGAGGTGGTGCCTGCAGGCTAGTCCAGCTCCTCCAGTGCCATCAGGTGGTTTACTCTGTCTTCCAGCTGAGTTTTAAGAGTGTGGAGGAGTTACAAGGAGAGCCGGACAGGGCCATAGAAGGTCATCAGCCCAGCAGTGGGACCGGTATCTGCTCCTTTGTGCCAGGTCCGAAAGCAGGAGCACTGCCAGAGCCCTACAAACTGACCTCCAGCTGACAACCTTTAGTGAGGTCTGTGCTCACAGCTCAGCGTTGTGAAGCTCGCCAGGCAGGTCCACAGCTGGAGTCCTGCCACAGTACCAGATATTTGCTCTAAACAATTTGAAGAACACAGCTTAGAACGTTTTCTTTAAAAAAAATAAAAAAGGCAAATCTGAGGTGTGTGTTGGGCTTTTTTAAACTGGGATAATTTGATAACAAAATTCAGGCAAACTCTGATGATTGTGTCAACAGTTTCTTTTTTAATTCTAAATTGTCAACAAAATCAGGCAGACGAGCTGACAATGAGAAGCAGACACCAAACAGACTGGAGGGTGGAGGTGTGTCAGGGTAAACAGCTCTAACCACCCTGCAGTGTCACGCTGTCTGTCTACAGCAGGTAAATATAGTAACTGGTGTCAGATCCCCGTCCTCTCAGCCAGAGTGTTGTAGCTGCACAGAGGAAACATGACAGGCCCTGAGCCTGAGCTTTGCAGGATTGTCACACACGTGAGACGCCTCTGATGCAGATGTGTTAATCTGGTGAGTAAATCGCATGTGTGTATTTGGAGTCATGCTGTATGAACATATATTGTTGAAGGACACAGAAGCTGTGGAGCTTTATCGAGAGAACCCGTGTGGACATAAAGCTCTGGTTTCACAGACCTCCTCCTTCTCCTTCTGCCAGCTTTCAGCAACAACAACTTTGAATCTGCAGGGACTCAGCCAACCCAACACCAAACCACAAGGTAAAGGAAACAGGTGACATCTGATCTGTCAGCTCACAAACCTACAATGAGATGATGGTTTTACTTTAAAGTTTTAAACTGGTCTGGTGAACTCAGGCCTCCTGTCTCCTGAGCATCTTGCTTCACGCTGTAGTACACACTCAGTTCCAGGCTGTTGTTTCAACTCTTGGCGCTCTATGATGTCACAAAGAGCGGGCATCCTTAATATGCTCATCGCAGACACTTCACCTGCTGTGGCTTTTAAACGTAACATTAATGAGGGGCAGCCAATCAGTAGAAACTTGGCTTAAAAGTGGGAAGAGCTAAAACAACTTGTTTCGGTCAGGTGATGACTGGAGGGGATGCACTAAGGCCAAGAAAAGGCTAAACAAAGATTATTTTGATCTGTGAGTGGAGTCCAGAAATAACAATGTGTCTGAAAATGAGCATAATGTGTTGAGTAGCACCAATTTTCAGCTCTCAGGTGACTCAGAAACAAACAAATAAAAAGGAAGGAAATCTGTGTTCCTGAGGACACAGAAGATTATTTTGAACTTTCAAGAACTTCCAGGAATAAAAACACAGACCTGGAACAATCACTCCACAGCACTTCCTGCTGCTTTTTGTTCTGAGTATTTTTCTTAGATAAGAACCTTTAATTTTAGACCACATCAGTTTATGACTATAATGTTTTTTCTCCCATATTTTAACACTTTAGTCACTGAAACTCTGAATATTTTTTCTTGGAATATTAGCCTCCACAGCTCCAATATTATTTTCTTTTGCAATGACCTCCAAAAGATTCCATTGTATAACGTCATTGAATGTCAGTGCTCTTGGGCTCAGGCATATTTTTGCCTTTTACAAACAAAAAACAAAAAACTGGGACTAATGCAGGGTGAAGACAATAATAAAATATAAGACATTTAGCTGTGCCTCAGGTGGTAGAGTGGGTCATCTACCAATTGGAAGGTCAGTGGTTCAGTGGTTCCTCCAGCTGTGTACCAAAGTGTCCCTGTATAAGATGCTGAACCCTAAGTTGCCCTGATGCATTAATCAGACAATTAGAAAGCACTCAGGCATAGATAAAAGTGCTGTATGATCGGATGAATGAGCGCTCCAGTAAAAAGTGCATTGAGTGCTCCGCTGAGTAGAAAGGTACTATATAAATACCATAAATTCCATTTAGCTCACAGACAGACAAAAGCAGGATTCTCAGAAGACAAAATCAATAATTAAACTGAACATTGAGGCCAAACAAAACAAGAAAAATTTAAGGGAAAGCTGAGTTAAAACAACTTTTTGTGGAGAAAAACTCCAGATCAGCCACAGCAGTCGTACCATAAAATCACTGAGATTTATCAGTTTCTCCTTGTGCTGCCACATGCTGCATGAATAAGCAAGCATACAGCTGTTGCTAATAAACAGAAAGGTGAGTGTATGTGAAAGGTTAACACTGTGAAAAAGCTTTAGTTTGACAGTAGACAGATGGATGACCTTCAATAAAAGGTCCACAGCTTGAGTCGAATCTTGCATGTTTTAAATGTAAATGATGATTTATTTATTTATTTTTTTATTATTTTACAAAATCAAAGAGCAAAGTGTTTGCTTCTAAATTTCTTGCACTGGTTTCACAGATTAAGTAATCTGATTAAGTTCTCAGAAAAGTAAGCTAGATCCAAGGTCTCCTTAGAGCCATGGCCAAAGGCTCGTCTTTGGTGTCTGGAATGACCTGTGTAGGTTTCTTTCCATTAATATGAACATATGACCTCTTTAATTCAGCAGCCCGGTTTCAACATCAGGAAGTAGAAATTGACTAAATTCTGACCCGATTTAAATACGCAGGATTCACCTGGTCTGACCGCGATCATTTATTCTGGCATCATGGAGCTTGATCGGTTCGGCATTCACGATGAGGATGATGAAGATGATGCAGCCACTCAGTACATGATTGAACAGAGTCTGCTGGAGAGCAACAAGCAGAAGGAGATGCACAGAAACGCCACAACGCGGGAGGACAGGAGGTCAGTCCAGCAGATACCTGGAAAAATCAGATGTTTGCCATGTTTTAAGGAACTTGTTGTGCTCATATTCAGCTTCAGTTTGTTATTTTTGGAATCCTTAATATGCATGATTCACTCTTTAAAATAATACTGAACCACTCAGTTTGCTTTCTGTTTGAAACAAATTTGTTTAAGCAGCTTTCTTGTGATTGATATGTGGCCATATTCAAGATCTGCTCTCTTTGACATCACATAGCGCCAGTAAAAGAAAAAACAGATGGAAACTGAGTGTGGTGGGGTTTTTGTTTTGTTTTGTTCTGTTTTTTCTTTCCAGCAGCTCAGAATCTGCAGACATCAGTAAGATCTTCACTGCTATTAGACAAGGTGAGACAAGATGAACACTTCTGATTTTATTGTTAAATAATAAAAAAAAATAAGCTAAAGCTTTGTTTTCTTTTTCAGAACTGGAATAAGAAAAAGACTTTGACATAATGCAGTCTAGCATGTGACTGCTTGAACAACATCAGTGAGCTTAGTTCTTATGCTAAGAATTTGCATCTTCTTCCCTGGCACATAAAAAAAAACATGTGCCACCTCCTCTCCTCACCTCCTGCCTACAGGCCATCACCACTTGGATGACGCTCAATCAGCCCAGTCACAATAAAAGTCAAGTTATTCTCATTAGCTCTGAGGTTTCACTTTCCAACATACACCCTTTTGTTGTCTGTATGGATTGTTGTCAGGTCCATATTTCCCATAATGTTAAAAGTCTCTGAATCATCTTGTCTGCTGATCATTTTACACCTAACCATCCTATCCAGCTTCATGGACTCCCCATTCCCCAACATACCAAGTATCCACCTTTCAGTGATTTGGTTCCTGCATATCTTCATCTTTCTGTTTCTTACGCTCAGCTTGAGCTCTTCTCCTGACTCCTCCTTCTTGCTTCAGACCCAACACAACCTTCTGCACATTGTCTTTAGGACTTATTACCACTTATTACTTATTACCACTTACCATCTGTTTTTAATCATTTCTCCTGTATTTTAAACCTGTTTTAATACTGTCCTTGTTGTTAATTTGGTGCTGCAGATGACTTTGAGTGCTTTAAAGGCACCAGCATTGTTGTTTTGTTCTTCTTCTTCATTTTTCTTTCTATGAGGACATATATTTGTTGAACCACAGTATACTTCACATAAAACAACAAAAAGTGGTTCTGATGTTTACATGCTGCAGACTGAGACTCTGTATGAATGTCCATCCTTGCAGGTAATGAGAAGCTCCTGAAGGATCTGTGTGTCAGACAGAAAGAGAGCTTTTCACTGGCAGACAGCAGAGGCTGGACGCCTCTTCACGAAGCAGCATCTCAGAGCAACCAGAGCATCCTGGAGCTCACGTACAAAGGTTTGTGTCGGCTTCAGTGTATCTGTGCAGATGTGTGGTAAGTGATGATGGCCTTTATTTAAACTAATCTGTCACCTGTTTTCCAGCTTCAGGCCCAGACTCAGTGAAGTGTTGCACGCTGCGAGGTCAGACTCCACTCTTCCTCGCAGTAGAACATGGTCTTATAGAAAATGCCTCCTTCCTCCTCAAACATGGAGCCAGCCCAGACATCCAGGATGACAACCAGGACTCGCCGCTATTTGTGGGTAAGATGCATGGCATTTCCAGACTTCAATACTAAGATCTAACACCGATTCAGACACTAACTCACAGCTTTTTCTGTGATGTTTGTTGTTGTCCGATTCTGCCTGTCTGCAGCGATCCGCTTAGACCGCCTTGACTTGGTGAAGCTGCTGCTCCTGCGTGGCTCCAACGTGCACCAGGAGGGTTGCCATGGCCGTCGGCCCCTCCACGAGGCCTCACGGTTGGGCAGAATGGAGATGGTAAAGGTGCTGCTGGAGGCCGGAGCGAGGCCCGACCCCCGCAGCCACTATGGCCTCACGCCGCTGGCTCTAGCAGCTCAGGAAGGTCACCTAGAGGTGGTGCAGATTCTGCTGAAGAAAGGTGATAGAAGCTTCAACTAGATAATGGTCCATTAGATGCTGGAAAGTCACTGTCAGAGTTAGATTCAGCTGAGAAAGAAACTAATCTTGGGTTAATGAGAAGAAAACACACCATGGCTTTAAAAGCATGTTGCTTGTCCTGCAGGTGCTGACGTCTTCTCTCAGGCACAGGACGAGGCATCCATCATGTATGAAGCATCAGCGTCTGGTAATCCAGCCGTCATCAGCCTCCTGCTGGAATATGGTGCCGATGCCAACGTTGCCAAACACACGGGACACATGCCAATCCACCGTGTCGCTCACCGAGGACACCTGGAGTAAGTGTTCAAATGTCATCTGAAAAAATTTAATAAAGCATGCATTTATGATTATGTAAGCAAAAAACATCTCAGGGTTTCCACATTACAAAGAAATGCTGCTATAAATTATCATAGAAACCACACCTAAGATATAAATCCTTAAAACTATAGAAAAAGCACTGTCACCTCATTGTCTCATAATTGAAAAAACTAAAATAATTATTACTTCACAGAAAAACAAAAACAAGAAACACAGGAAAGTAGAACCAAACTCACATGAGACAAAAGACTATCAAAATAAGACAGGAAATAACACAGAGACAAGACTGGAGGGACAGAATGGGAACACCTAAGGGGGTTATCAAAAACATATTATCAACTGAAGCAATCAGGCAGCTAAAGGAACAGAAACGGGATCAACACAAACCCCAGGAATGTAAACAGAACACCATAAACAGAAGACTAAATAACACAGGATACAGAACCAAAATACAAGATTATGAAAAATACAAAACAAGACAATCCATAAACATCCCCAAAACTCATAAACCATGGGTCCAAGACCCAAGGTGGTAGTCTTATTTTACTCAGACTGAAGGTTAATGCAGTCATCAGCAACGGTCAGAGAACAGAACAAAAGGCATCCAACATCTAAAGAAGAACTCTTCTTCATATCAAATTCTGACTTTCAAGCTCATTGGAGTTGTACGAACAGAATGTTTTACCATATTTGCATGTGTGTTTAGACATGTTTCAGTAAATCGCTGCACCTGTTTCCCATTTTAGCAGGTTATGGTAAAGAAGTGAGCGGTGGCTCAAGTCTTTTGCACACTATTTGAACTCGGCAAATAAATCAAAAAGCATGAAAAATGTGTATCTTTGTGTGTTTGCTGTCAGAGCTCTGCAACTACTGCTTCCTGTCACCTCTATGAGGGACATAAATGACAGTGGGATGAGTCCCCTTCACTCAGCTGCTGCAGGAGGACACACAAACTGCATCAAGGTGTGTGTGTGTGTTTATGGGTGTTTCTATAATCAATAAAAGTAGGTGTAAACAGCATGTGTTTGTTGCTCTACCATTTATATAGAGAGATTTCTCCTAAATGAGGGATTGTTGGTGACAATATAACAAAGCAACTTCATTTCATAGTGTGAAATGTCTGGGTCTGTTGGGGCTAAATCATCATGTTAGAATGACTTCTTTTTATTACTCGTGCAAAAGTTCCCAGTTTGGATGTTCCCTCATCTTCAAACTCCTATCAGGTATTGCTGGACGCAGGGTACGACCCCAACTACATGCTCCACCCCTGGGTTCGCTGCAGCTACGATGATGAGAGGAAGTCAGCTCTCTTCTTTGCCGTCTCTAATAATGATATGCCGTCAGCAAAATTGCTGCTGGAGGCCGGAGCCATGACCAACCAGGACCCGGTCAAATGTCTGCAGGTACAAATGCAAGCACAGGTGCTGATCTCAGGGGTGGGGTGGGGGGCATGTGCCCTCCACATGCTTTTTTTCTCAAATTAAAACATCAAAGAAGCAGCAGAATACCAGCGTGTGTTTATCATGTGGTTTCTTTACATTAGAAAAGGCATTTTCATCATAAATGTATGCAGAAAATGAACAAATTTGCCAGAAATTTATGACACTGACTATCTGAGGATTAAAATTTCCTGACACCCAGATATCTCACCTAATGTTCTTCCCTAATATGCAAGCAAAACCTCAATTTGTGGATGTGGGCGTGGCTTCCTTAAAGGTTTGGTACAATGTCCTGAGCTGGGTGGTTGAATCTGGGTCTGTTCATCAGGAAAGAAAATAATACCACTGTTTATGATTCAGCGTTCTGTTTTTTTTAGGTTGCACTGCGCATGGGCAACTATGAGTTGATGGACCTGTTGCTGCGGTTCGGAGCCAACGTCAACTATTACGCCAGGATAAACACGACTCACTTCCCGTCAGCGCTGCAGTACGCTTTCAAAGACGAGGTGAGCCGCCGTCTTTATTCAGTACATCTCTACTGCAGATTCAACAGCTTCACTCATGTTATCGTGTTTTCATGTCATGTGTGTCAGGTGATTCTCAGGATGCTGTGTAACTATGGTTACAATGTGGAGCGCTGCTTTGACTGTCCCTATGGAAACAAACCCCACATCCCTGAAGACTATGAGGGATGGAGTGACAGTGTGATCAAAGACACCATGGTAATATAAAAGGTGACATGTAGGCTGTACATAAAAGATGGAAGTAAAACCTGCATGTTTCTCTAGGTGAGCCAAGATATTTAAAAATCTCACCACCAAAATAGTCCTATGATCAGTCGAAGTCATCACCAGTGTTAAATGAGATAAAGGTTTCTGACACAACTTCACCTACTAGTTGTGAGAAGTTTATGCACACATCATGGGAATGAATGCCATGGTAATTTCAAGCTTTTCATGATTTCTTTGAACTGTTGTTTTTCCAGGGTGGAATGATTGTACGGCATAAGTCTTTAATGACTTGCACAAGTTTGAATTCATTTTGGATTTTCTCTTATCCACACAGGGTCGAAGTGCACATACAGATTTGAAACTTAATGTTAACCCACTTCATCCATCCCAAAACCATTACTGTCCTTTTGGAAGACTCAATTATGTCCAAGTTTCAACCATCTAGCTCTGTATTAGAGATGGAGTTGAAGAGTGTGAAAGTATTTTTCCCTCTTTATTATTCTGTCCAACAGTCCCAAACCATAAAACTTTTCTCCACAAGGTATTTAGCTTGTCCATGTGGGTAGATACAAATTTCAGTTGAGCTTGAAAGTGTCAATTTTGGCGCAGGGGTTTCTTTCTTGGTTGACAACCTGTCAGCCCATAATTATTTAAAACTCACTTCACTGTGGTCAGTCACGCTAATGTTCTAGCAGTTTTCAGTTCATGGCAGTCTTGAGCCCAGGTGGGCAGTTTGCGTAGGGGAGAGCAATTTGAAAATCATGAACACATTTAATGATGACTATTTAAATGACCATGATTTTTACAATCTACAGTAGTTAGTTAACACAATAAAACAAGTCTTTGAGCTTTTCATGTATTTTAAAACTGTTTTTTTTAAGAGACCTGGAATGTAAATGTGCCTGTCTCTAAGCTACTTTGGTCAAGTTTTGTTAAATGAGCTCTAGACTAAATAAAAGAGATGTGACACTTTTCTCTAAAAGGACAGACATTTTAAGGTATATTTTAAAGTATACCCCACACATGTCGTTTTTAAGTGCTGTCTGCAATATATTGCTGATGACCTAAGGCAATAGGCTAAAACGCATGTCAATCAATAAAGTTGTTCTTTATACTACAAGCTGCTGGAACTTCAGCCTCTTTATCATCAGTGAAAACTCCAACCCCAAGCAACTACTAGGTCTATATGTAGATTTTTTCTTTTCTTTTTTTTGTTTAATTGTTCTCCAAGGACACATAAAACGATCAGGAACATGGTACTTTCCACAAAAAGCCAAATTTTCCTTTCTCCAGATCACAGGTTTAAGGTAATCATGACTCAGACGGCAAACCTTCTCTGTTTGTTTTCAGTGATAAAATAAAAGCTCTTCCGTTTGTCCGTCAGCGCAGTTCTGCGAGGTGATCACAGTTTCCTGGCTGAAACACCTGTCGGGCCACGTGGTTCGTGTCCTGCTGGACTACGTGGATCACGTGACCATGTGCTCCAAACTGAAGGCGGTTCTGATGGAGCAGAAGCAGTGGCCGGACATCTGCAGACTGCAAGGTGACTGAAATTAGATGTTGTCTCTTAGCTCAGAGGGAAAATCCTGAACTCACCGATGGCCTTCACTTCCTCCGCTGCTCTCTCAGAAAACACCCGCTGCCTGCAGCATCTCTGCCGCCTGCGAATCCGCCGGAGCCTCGGCCGCCTCCGTCTCCGGTCCCAGGTCTTCATGAGCTTCGTGCCGCTGCCGGAGCGGCTGAAGGACTACATCCTGTACCGGGAGTACAACCTGCTGCGGGGCCGGTGGGGCGGCAATCCGGGCCGATAATTTAGAGGCTAAAAGAGGAGCGTGTTAGGCTGACATACAAATGTGCATATTTTTATTTCACAAAGAAAATGGGGGGAAATTAAGGAGCATGCAAAACATGTGTTTTTGGTAGCGTTCGCAAACACGACAGCTCGAAAAGATGGATTGATTGAAGGTCAAAGGCAACAATTAGGAAATGATGCTGGTGTATTCTTAATATGACGTGTCACCTTTGACCTCTGACCTCACTCTTACATTTCACATCTGCCTTTTTTTCACCTTGACTCTAAAATGTGTTTTAAGAGAAAAAGTGAGTCTAGTTAGTTACAAATATAATGCAGAATAATATTATATAATAAGCTCGAGTTGTTCATGACAAGTCATTTACAAATCAATACAATCATCCATTACCAACTGATGCATAATGTTTTGTTTAATCATTTACATTTAAAAACAACAAACAAACTGAAGATGTAGAACATACTATACTATTCCCTTAAAAGTAAATACTGCCCCGAGAGCCAACTGTGCGAATATGTTATTGTACACATGCACATTTTTAAAATAAAACAAAACATTTGCAGGTTTAAAAATACAAATAAAAAAATTAATGTTTTCTACATCAAAGAAACTATAATGTATTATTAAGTCATTTTATAATTATTGTATTTAAGTTTACGTTAGAAAAAATCAAGCACCATCTGGTTTTTGTAAGGTTATTTATTTTGGAAAACAACACGTGGTATCTGCTAAAGAAAGGTGTGATGCAGGTCCCCATTGTCTTTACTGATGCTACACAGGTGTACAGTAAGGTTAGAGATCTGTAGGCTATTGTATTGATAAAACAGCAGTTTCCACAGTGTTTTTAATTAGTTTTAATATTTTTGCATGTCCAAATAATGTGCGGGACTGTACAAACACATTACCACATGTCCTGGATATTTACGTTATAATAGCCCGTCAATATAAGATTACATGTTTTATACACATATTGCTTTAAATTGCTAAGTGTAAATGTATAAAATGTGATGTAAGAGTATAAAATTGATGTCAGTATTTAACATGGTGATTTATGACAATGACAGCAAAAATAAACATAATAATGCTGTAATTTGAAAATCTGGTGAAATAAACTGAGTCAGAGATTATATTTTGAAAGGTTTGAGAAAACGACTTGATAAAAACTTTCCATAAGCGGTCTGAGGTCGGCTGAAGGACCTTATGTAACAGCAGATGTGGAGTAGAGGTGACAGGATGTCTCAGAGGTCACAGAGACCAGCACCTGGGATAACCCCTGCTGGGGTGCTTTGGTGAAAAAAGTCTCTCACTTCAGTTAAGAGATTTTTTTCCCCGCTTTTTTTGGAAATTCTATGTCACACCAGGAAAAAAAAGAAAAAAAGTCTCATCTAAAGACTGCTCCTGAGTTTGAAGCATCAACACAGGTTTAACTGTAGAAGTTTGGCTGCACAGCTTCTGGACCTGAGAAGTGAAGACAAAGTACCCTAAAACTAAAGCTGTATTATGTTTAATGGCCAGCAGACTTTCCAGCAATCAGTGTAAGTTTCAAGTTTAAAACTTGATTAACACAAAATGATGTTTATTGAATAAATAATGGTATCATCTGGAGTAAAATTGCCTTAAAGCGGGATAAATTTTTTTGGCCCATTCTCTGTAAACCCTGCAGATCAGAAGTTTCTGAAATACTGTCTAGCATCAATAACTATACCATGTTCAAAATCATTTACATCACCTTCAGTGGGTAGTCTGGAGCATGTCTACATGCCTCTGGCTGGTTAGCGGCTAAACAGGTGTACCTAATTAAGTATGTAAATGTAGAAATCTTGCTTTCAGTTGTGGTACATTTGTTTTTTCGGGGAGAGGGTCTCTGATGTTTGCAGAGAATTTGAAGGTTTCTGTCGTTTCTCCATTTCATGCCTTCTTACCCGCTCTGCCCTTCTGCCTGTGACCTGAAAATCTATCTCAAGTACATGATTTTAAAGCAAGTTTTAGCTTCTAAAGTGCACCAACAGAAGACGCACAGGTGCATCTTTTGCTGGAGTGTTTTTACCCTCCATGTTTACAAGAGCAGTGGCACAGTTGGAATGTACAAAGCATGATGAAAGGAGGACTCTTACCCTGCATTTTATTCTACTTACAAATTTAATTAAAAGCAGGGCTAAATATAAGAGTTATATAGGAACATTGTTGCACTCACACACTGTAGTTGGGCTGCACTAAACACCATTATTTGACATAATTTTAAAAAGAGCTTCAAAGTAAGGAATTCGCTTCACTAGGACAATTAAAGGAAACTCCAAGTGTTGTAGCAAGGTGTTAGGCCTTACTGTAGTTGTGGAGATTTTTCCTTTAATTTGTCAATTTTGTGTGTAAGACAGACAGAATATTGCTTTTCAGCCACGTCAGCCTGCCCAATTCTCTATTTTCCATGACTATCAACAGACTCAGCCACTAAAGCTTTTCATTAAATCCCCACTTTTGATTGTTTTTCTTTTTTGGGTCTCATTTATTTAAAGCACCTGTTGCCTCAACCCCTGTTTTCTTTTTACTCTTCCTCCCCTGCTTTCAAGTCCAGGCGGAGGAAATAAGATTTGAGAGGATGAATTGTGGATAAACTGTGACTGGAGGGCATTAAAGTGTGTTTGTTTAGTTGGATCCTGGTCCCAAATGCCCAGAGGTGAATTTTTTCCTTGATTGTTCACTCTGAACTCAGACACTGGATGACATGAGTGAGTCTTTACTTTACTGAGTCTTTTAATTCTGTCACACCGCCCCCCACCCCTCCCCGACTGTGCTTTCAAGAATCACAACACAAGCCCAAAAGCTTCTGGAAAGATTTAATCTCACTTAGTTTCACTGTTCTAAACAAACAGTCAGGACGATGGCAGAGGCAGAGAATGCTGCTAAACAAGTCCGATCAATCACTGAGGCTAATATCCATGATGAAATCTCATGATCTGAGAGGACGCGTGGACCCATCGCCCCTTGAGACTCAGAGACGACTGGAACGAGGGCGGTCTGATGTGGTGGTGAAAACAGACTCAAACAGGAGGGCGTTAATGTGCATGCAGTTCTTCACCAGCTCCCTTAACATGAAGTGAAAGAAACGGAAGATGGCTCTGACGCTCACACACACCTGAGTGTCCCACAAACAGCTCAGGAGCTCAGCAAGCCGACTCAAGTCTGAAATCTGGTAAATAAATCAGACTTCAGCTGGCTCCAAAAACACTGTTAACAATGCTCCCAACGTCTCTCTCTCTCTCTCACACACACACACACACACACACACACACACACACACACACACACACACACACACACACACACACACACACACACACACACACACACACACACACACACACCATGTCTCAGAGTCACTAAATTTCTTTAAACTTTTATACATTGAGAGGGGGTGGGGGAGCCATGTAAAAGACAAGAACATGTACCCACAGATTTTAGGTAAAGGCAGGATAAAAAAATAAATTATCACCTTCATAAACCAAAAATACAATATTCATATTTGCTCTCTCTCTCTCTCTCTTTCCAGCTCCTGGGGTTAAGTTCCTGTGGCTGTCCAGCAGGGGGCAGTGCTGCATCAAGCCCAGCCTCAGGTACCAGTTGGAGAGACATAAATGGACAAATACAATTGGCTATCGGTAGCCCAATCAGAGGGAATAAATATATATATATATTTAATATTATTTTTGAGACAGAGCTGGGTGATAATTCAGTGTTTTCATCTATAAAAATATTTTTTATAGAATAAAAGCTTCAAAAATAAAAGTTGAAAAAAAAAAGAGCTCAATGAACATGAATTTAATACTTCTGTGTGATTTTGCCTGTTTTCTGTGTTATGAAATACAGAAGGGTGACAAATTAAAGGACAACCTCACCAAATCTCACTCACCAGATCTTGTAGGTGTGCATATTTTTCCTTTTATCTGTCACTCATCTGTGTATAATATATGCTGAATATGGTTATTCAGCCACATCACCCAGCCTTAAAGAATTAGGCTGTTGTTATTCTTTATTTTTCATTATTGTCAACAAATTAGCGAGATTTGTGAAGTTTCTCTTTTTAGAGCAACCAAGCCCATGAGCATTAGTTTTTTATTTTGCTTTAGCATGTTCAGGCCATCTTAAGTGTTATGTGTTATGAGTAGAAGTCCAAGTCTTGACCCCTTACACACAAGACTTGACCCTGTGGGGACATCATTTTAGGCAATCAAAAGGTCGTAGGTTCGTATTTAAAACATCAATGAAAAGTTCTTAAAATAAGGAATCAGCAACCCCATCATCTGAGGAAGCTCAAGAATAGCCACTAAACTACTACTATTCCCACATTTACTATGTTTTTAAGGGGAAGCGTGCAGACACTTGAGTTTCTTCTAAATGTTATTAATGTAACTGGTGTAAACAGCGCTCTTGCTGGGGACGACTCATTTCTAGCTGTAGCTGCAAGGGTGTCAAACATGCAGCCCAGAGGCCAGAACAAGTCCGCCAGAAGGCGCAATCTACCCCGATTTTACTGTTTTTCCATTGAAACGATAAATAAATCATCTACTCCTGGAGTTCTGATGACATGATGTCTGGAAAGTGAAAAATATGTTGTTGTTTTGTTTACAAAAAAATAAAATCTCTAAAACTTTTTTGTGTAAAGAAATCAAATTTTAAAACCAAAAATCACTAAAACATCTCATCTGTTGTCAGAATTGACTTCTTTTGCACTTAAAAAAAAAGGGGGGGGGGGGGGGGGGGGCTGCAGAAGTGTCTTAGATGTATGGTCTAAACAGTCTGGCCCCAGTTGAGATCAAACTGGGCATTTTGTGACCCATGAACTAAAATGAGTTTGACACACCTGCTGTTGTGAGTATCTACAGGATAAGGAAGGTATGTCTCAGTGTTTTGGGTATTTTTTTCATGACATTTGTTGACAATAATAAATTAAGAATACAGATCTGAAGCACCCTTTCAGACACTCACAGACGGAGCGAAAGTCCTGTATGTGACTTTCTTAGCGCTCAACAGAATAACTTAAACAGCTCTGACATGTAGAGGTCTCAGTTTATATAATGTAGTAAGGTTAAAGAGGGCCAGGAACAGCTTTCTCAGCAGTGCTCACAGATGCACAGAGACGCTGCTCTTATGGAAGACGGCAGTGCGATTACACTGCTCACAATACTGGGTTTTTCTATGATGCAGTAAACATTGTGTTGTACTTTTAGCTCTCGCCATCATTCTAGTGGGAGTGTTGTAAAGAAACCGTGAGGAACACTCATGTTAAAGCGACACGTGTCTGAAAGGGGCTCAAGCATCACCAACACCAGATTTGGAAAAGTGACACTTATGCTTCCAATAACCCCGAGGATGATTTCACAGGACACCGACTACTCGTGTTTTTCCTGATTCAATCTCCAAAAAAACAAAAACGAAACAAAAAAATAATACAAAAACAAAACAAAAATTAAAAGAAAAACAAAAAAATGGCCATACAACATTTTGAAATGCATCTATGCTCTCTCCCTGAAGCCTACTTCTATGTCTCTTTTATTTGGGGGGGGAGTTTGCCATCTATTGCTTTCACAGATTCTTGGGTGTTTTTCTGAGCATGAGTTCTGTTCACCTGTCTAGATTTGGTTTCTGTAGAGAAAGAGTGAGGACAAAAAGGTGATGGGAGGTCAGGGAGTGAGGGAAAAAATGTGTTCAGTGGGAGGTCTGTGGGATTCAGCTGATTGACCAATCAGACAGGACGCTGTGTCCTGGGACGCTGTCAAACAGCTCCAAAGACAACTGTTCCCAGGATGTGTGTCTGTGAGCGTGTGTGTCCCTCTATCTTTGTGAGGACATCCTTCACATTTTGTTATGGTTAAAGAGCAACTTTGGTTTATTATTTCACTGTGCAGAACGTGTGAGAAGGCAGTTTCAAAACTGAAAGGAGGAAAGAGGAACGTTTCTCGTGTTCAGGGGTGTCAAACATCTGTTCCGCACAGAGGATGGACTGCCGTTTAGCTCCAAAATCCTCTACATATGAAGGTTGTGTGTTTAAAAAAATACTGTTAAACTGTAATGCAAATGTAATGTCAAGAAAGACGAAAAACTGATACACACTGTTTAAATTGGACTTATTGTTTAGCTGTAAATGCACGCTTTGAAAAATGTGAGATCAAACTGGGTTGTGCGAACTAAAATGAGTTTGACGCCCCTGCTCTAGTTTCCAGATTTGTACCAAAGGACATTAAGTACTCCGCTCTGATCTGGTTTTACCTGTTGCCCCTTTTTTGTTTTTCAAACTAGTTCACTTACAGATTTTAGGCGAACACAGAGAAACCGTCCTCTTCCAACTATGCACACTCATCATTCTGAAAGTGATGGTAAAATAAACAAAGCTCTATTCAGACTGGACTGTTCTGTAATTTGAATCTTTCCCAGAAAGACGTTCCTGTATTTTAAAGTGGATCTCATCCACAACTTCATTCCTTTTAACTTATTTTTAGCCTCCTGAATGACTGAAATGAGAGACATGTTCCTGCTGACAGAAACTTGTGAATGTCTTAAATCTCTCCATCAGGAGAAAGCTCAGGAGGTGCTCCACCACATCCTGTAATTTCAGAATGATTAAAATGGTGCCCAGAAAGACAAAAGTTACTTTAAAGATGAGCATGGCGACTACAGGGTTGTCATTTAGCTGTGGTTACGTTCAGGGAATGCATTATGTCAAAGGTCCTCACAAGAATAGAAGCACAAGCTGTGAGTGTATCTGTTGGTTCTCCGTATCATCTTTAATTGGCAGCCATTTTGGCTCCAATGTCCCACTTCCCTGCAGTTGCACGGCAATGTCCTGGAGAATCATGTTCCATATTTACAGCCGATTGTTGCTGGAAACACGGCTAGACAAACTGCACTGACAGCACAACCTGAACTATCTCACAACCAGCTGTGTGTGTGCGTATATGTGTGTGTGTGCGTGCGTGCGTGTCTGTCTATGTGTGTGTGTCTATCTTTGTGAGGACCAGTTATACTTTGGGTGTGAGGCTGGTCCGCACTGTGAGACAAACCTTCTCAGGTCCTCACAAAGATACAGAAGTGAGTGATGGAGCTACAGGTTGTCGTCCCGCAGGCTTTCCAGGATCTGGACAAGGCTCTCCAGTCCAAACATGTAGCCCCTGTCTGGCCCATCATGTACGGCTGTGTCGCCGCGGAAACCCTTGAAGGTGGAGTGGGCGAAGTCGATCATGCGAACGTCCACCAAGGGGGGCTGCTGGGGCAGGGGAGCGGGAGAGGGGAAGGAACCTAAACTGGGAGCCGAGGAGGTGGATTCTGGATGAGGCGATGGGGGGCGTGGGAGGAAGGAGTGGCAGTCTGACTTAGGGGGCGGGGCTTGTGTGGGAGGATGAGGGGAAGGTGATGGGGAGGCCGGAGCCATCAGTCCAGACCCCTGAGAGGGCAGGGATCCTGTGTCTGGCTTCTGGCTCATGTCCGTTTCACAGGGTGCATCGGGGGCCGGGCCACAGTGGGACTCTGCGGGTGACACGGAGGTCTTCGGTTGCCAGACAGAGGGGCTCTCGGGTTCCTACAGACGAAAAAAAAAAAAAAAAAAAAAAATCAGGTCAAACAAAGGGAATCAGTTGGAATCAGAACACTTCCAAAATCAAAAAAAATTTAGAAGTATAAAAATAGTTATTTCAACATCAGGCGCACCTTTCCCTCATAGATGATGAGCAGCGAGGAAGAGTAGAAGCGATAGGATGCCTGCCTCTCCAGCACCGCTTTCAGGGTGCGAAGCTTATCCAGGATTGGCTCAAAGAGGTCCCGCCTCAAGCCCTTTCCGTTGTGCAGGTACTGGTAGAGGGCCTGGCGGAAGCCTTCGATCGACAGGCCGCGGCCGTAGTACTTGTTCCTGCACAGGTAGTGACCGGTGTTCAGCTGGTACACCTGCAGGGACAGGTGGGCAACAGCTCAGTACAACGTGAGTCTGGATTAGATATTAACAGATGTTCCCTCCGATTCAATTTAATCATTATAGCTGGAAAAATATGCATACAACCATTTATAATGTTTATTTACATATTTATTCCTTTCCCTCTAAATATTTCCACTAATTCGTGAAATTGTTAATATCATGATTATTATTAGTAGGACAATGAGAACTAGTGCTCTTTGTTGTCCTAATAACAGCAGACACGTGAGCTTATCTTGCAGAGGTGGTAGCAGATTGCAATGATATTGCACCCGCTTCTCCTGCAGCATTCGGTTTGTTGCGGGATCAAACAATAAACTAGTGTGTGTTTATCTTTTTGTTCAGGCCCCTGATGGACCACTGTTCTCATGTGTTCAGCGGTGCAAGTCGTCCTTTGTACCTGCATGCCACATACTCTGACTCCCAGCGTCGCTGAGGTGCTTTGTTCGCATTTCCTTATCTGCCTGGCTGCCTTCTCCTCCGAGGCGTCATCTCCGTGCTGCCGGGTGCCCATCTTCAGGTCCAGGATGCAGGGGTAAGAGAAGTGGTGCACCACGTTCTCTAACAACAGGAACTCTGGTTAAAAAGCTGCAGTTAAGGAGCCAACTGTCCTTGACCTCCACCCTTTTTTATGTTTGATCTCTTGTGCAAAAAGATCAAACAACTACTAAATCTAAAAAAACCTAAATGTATGCAAACAAAATACTGTGCACAAACTCAACTGAAAGTTAACGTCAGTGGGATATGACTGACATTAAGAACCCACCCAGGAAGGGAGAGATTTCCTCTCCTTTCAATCTTGATTTTTCTTCTCCCCAACAGCGCCATTAATGATTAAAACTAAAACAAAGGCCTTCTGAAAACCTCACTCTTAACAAAAGAAAAGCCTGTCACACTCAAAGATGACAGGCCTGGGCGCTGATCATTTTGGTTATGCGAGTGCTGTTTGTGTCTGTACAGTAAATATGGAGAACCTCTGAGGTGACAGCAGCGTGCTGAATCTGCTTTGACAGAAGACAGATGGAGCTTGTTGAGGACAAAGTGTGTGCTGCTCATTCACTCCCCTCAGCGCTAATATCCAGACAGCTGCAGGCTGCTCTCTTTGAAGCTGCAGATCAAAACATGACCTCTAACCTGATAACCTCCAGCCCTCCTCTTTATTCCCACTCTGGTCTGCACAGACTCTCTCTCACATTTACATTCGGCGCTTCCCATTATCTGATGGCCCACAGCTGGTCATTTGTTGTGTGTCATTGTCCCTTTTCTTCTTTTCTACAATGTCTCTGATACATGAAGATGTAAAAAAACAAAAGTAAATCAGCATTTTAAAAATAAAAACAAAACAATAGGTAACAGGCAAAAAAGGTATTTGTGTAGAATGAATAGGTCACGTTCTCCATGTTTAACCAATCACCATCAAGACCCATCTGGGTAATTTTCAGGGATGCTAGGAAGTACTTCCTCTGGCAGATCTCTAAATCACGAGAAAGGTGCCTTTAAAAGCGTGACAATGTTATTCACTTCACCAATCAGTGTTTTTAATATGCTGTGATTGGTTAAATGTACCTTAAGGTACATTCATTAGCTTTTTTATCACCACTTAAATGTCAAGTAGTGCTTCCCACCTGTTGGTTTGACCACCCTGGATGGCCAGAAAAAAACAACACTAGAAGAGTTTGGGTCACTGGGAGAAAATACGACATGAAATGAAACTTGAATGAAGTTGAATGAACATGAACATCAGTTTTCAGTTTTCATACCTGACCTCTGCTTCAATAAAACCTATTGTGGATCACAAATAACTGATAAAACTGCAAAAGCTATCATATCCAAAGAGTATGTTTGAGTTAGTAATGATGAGATGTAGAATGAGACATTTCATACATCCAACTTAAAAATAAACTATGCAGGCATCGATCATATGAAAAACTAACATACGGTATTTTATCTTAATATAATTTTTTGTAATTTTTGTACACTGGTTTATTCCTATTTCCTATGATCATCTTTGAAAACTAGGGCCAATTACAATTTAATATAATGTCTTAATACACAGATCAGCAGGATAAACAGCAGGACCCTTGGTTACATGGTGTAAATGGACGTCAACATTTTTGGGGAAGGATACTGAAGAGCTTTCTGTCCTTGGACTCAGATCTCATGCGGCTGAGCTGCTGTTTGTGGCAGCGAAGGCTCCAGGGATTGTGGCTGATCTTCTCTGACGTCAAACCGCTGTTCCAGTCCAGCATCTGAAAGGGAACATCTGAGAGGACCTTTGGGTCGAGTCTCGGGCTCTTCAGCTCTGCCAGACTGCAGAGAGGAGGAGAGGGGATCGTTAAAAGCACTGCAGGTGACCCTCTGCTCTGACTGCTGCATCTACTGTGGGTTTCAAGGGTATGTTATAAATGTGACCACTGGACTGTTTGATGCCAAATGACCCAATATAAATATAAACTACAAGTTCTCTTGTTATCTGCCTTCAGCTTCTCTCCTTTGTCGTCAAATTTATGACATAGATCAATAAAATATTTTCACACGAACCGTCCTACATCAAGTGAAATCAGTCCACGAGTTCATTGTCTCCTCGAGTATATCTTACTTATCCGAGGTCTCTGTGTCGTGCGCCTCCCTCCGATCGGGCCGCTCCTCCTTGTGTTCAGAGGTGGATGAGGAGCGATGCAGGCTGCGGCGGGAGTGTTTCCTCCTCGGCTGCTCCCTCTCTGGGGGGTCACGCTCCTCATGCTCGCCGGCTCCTCCCTCCATATTGCTCTCCACATAGGGGTAGGCCACCAGGTTGATGTAACCGTCAGAGTCACCTTCAAAGCACACCAGCACCACACCTGAGAGGACGGAGCCAAACACAGAAAGGATGTTGGGAATTATTAAAAACATTTCAGAGCAGAAGAGAAAAAACAGACTACTGAAATACTCTGAAATGCCAAAGCAGAAACATTGCATTTTTAAAGGTCAGTATTTTTCGTACCAGCGACCCACAGAAGAGTCAGGCTGAGTCCAACACAGATCCAGTTTTATTATTTTGTATGTATTTTTGTTTTTATTAATCTGTCAGAGGTATACCCTCTCCATGATGTCATAAAAACCCAGGAGTAGAAAACGTCCTCAGGAGCATTTAGAGCAGTCTAAAACCTGAACTTTTGGCTCACAGGGATTTATTGTACATACACTAATGTCAGTATTTGAAACATTGGTAAAGTTTAATGTCAATATCTATCTATCCATCTATCAAAAAAAACCATATGCATCAAGATGTACAGAGTGCTTCTAAAATTTGATTAAACAACAATTTATGGATAAAATAAGCAGACAGTAATGTTTTTTTGTATAACAGATGTACGTTTGAACATCTGTTATATTTAGCTTTATAAACAGACCAGAGCATGTCATCCCTGCCAAGCCAGACACTCAACATCATCCATCTTAGTCCTAATTTAATTTACCTGTCAGTTTGCTCATCAGTGGAGAAGCAAACCCCAAATATGAATTTCAAACTTCCCTCAACAGCACAGAGCGAGTTCTCCATCCTCAGAAAACTTCACCTCCTCCTTACCCGCATCATAAGAAGTAATTTGATTTGACGGTGCCAAGCTGCGGCGGATGAAACATCCTTGACAGATACAGAAAGTCGTGCCTGGGCAGCTGTCCGTCTGTCTGCTGTTATTTAATCAGCAGGACAATGGGTAGTGGGCAGACATCCAGAGATAAATTTAGACTCCTTATGGAGCACACTTGTCATGGCACTGGGAGCCAGAACACCAGCAGGGTGGACTAGTGGGAGTACAAGCCTCCGATCAACTGCAGTACAGAACCCTTGGAATACGGCCATCGTATCTCTTGTAAAGGAGCCGAGTGTGGCAGAGACGTGGATAACCGCAACAAGAAAACTTTGCAGAAATCTGTGGCATGGTTGTCCTGCCACTCCGCCCACAGAGCCAATCAGCAGCAGATGAAGCAGGAATGTGTTCAGTCCATGATGGCCAGAGACAAACACCGTCAGAGCCATCATGAAATCACACACTGGTTTGGTAAATCTCATTTTCAAGCATTGAGATAAGCATTTTCACTGATGCCGTTTTAGTGTTTTCAAACCAGATGTGACAAGTGAGGGGCGAGTCTGAATGTGAAACCACATGCTCAGTGGCTAATGAGTAGTCAATCACAAGTCACAAGCCAACTGACCGGATTACGTTCACACCATAAACAAATGTCTATGAAGATTGTTTGACACTGGACAGTGACCACCTTCTCCAAAGGCCCGTTCTGGTCTGTACATGAGTCCGACTACCATGTTCACACCTGCACAAGCAGACCACATCAAGAGGGAGAACAAACCTGAGCTCAATTTAAAAAGACTAAATGCCACAGGAGTGAAGAGTGGAACATTCTCTTTATAATGTTGGTGCCTTAGTGTTGGCCTGAGAGTAAGTCTTTTCTAAGGCATTCAAATATTTGGTGTCTAAGAGAGTGTGAGTGAATGGCCTGCAGTCTAAAAAGTTTCTAAAAACTGCACGCAACTAGTGCCAAAAAACACAAAACACACACAAAAAAAACCAAAGGCTACAGATGCAACTTAATAGTTTTAGGGGCTTATGTCTGTTAAAACAAAAAAAGACAAATCACTGCAGTTTAAAAGAACACCTTTTCCAAAGCAGGAAATGCTTGGATGATGTCTCAATTAATAAGAGAATAGTATATAATCTGACCTGACTATGAGCTCAAACCTGCTAAGAGTCAGTAAGCAGTGCTCAACTGAGACGCTGCTGTTTAGTCTCGCCTGCCTTCCTTTTGGCAGACATTTTGATATCACAGAAATGAAACTAATGCTTCATAATGAAGCCTGCGTTTCATTTGCGTTTTAGTGGTCTTTGACATTTGCTTGGGTCTGTTACTACAGCAAAATCAAGTAGAAACAGTCAGACTCTATGCCGGGTGACGATGAGCAGAGCAGCTAAAGCTCTCCTCTTCCATTAAACATCCGTACTTCCTTCCTTCTTTCCTGTCAGTCTGCCTCTCCATTCACCACCAAACATTAGAAAATAAGGAATATAGAGCATGAGTGTTTGATGCTGAACCATTGAGGGTTTAGCTCCCTTAAAAGAGACCTCACTGCTGTGAAATCAATAAAATTCAACTGTCTTTTACTACTGGCTTATTCAGGCTAACAGGAGGTTCGGGAAATGTCACAAAGACATTAAAAGACCTTTTCAGACCTCTTTGATGAGTTTTAAGAGTGCACACAGTTTTGCAGGGTACTGACTGCTAATACAGGGACTTATTTTAGATTTCCCAACTACAAACAGCAGTGCCTTACCCAAAACCTTACAGCTAGTGGTGTAGTGGTGCGGGAACTTTCAACGAGATTTTGTGTTTCTACACGCTTGTCTTTGAAACCTATAAACAATCTGCCATAGTTAATGTGACTTTACATTCACTCCATTTAATAATACAGTGCTTTCATTTTCTTTCACCACAGCAGCTTGTTAACTGATCTCATTAACTGATACCCCCATGCTGCTGTCATTGTTCGCTTCTCTCTCTATGTTCAGGTCCACTGTATTTTGGATCCTGTACAATTAGCATTCGGTGGGATGTGGCTACGCCTGCTTGCCTTTGGGATCGAATATCAAGCAGGTTTTCCATGATTCGTTTATAGATATGACACAAAAAAAACAATGTATGTAGGCCAAAGTGCTGAACAGCTAAAAACAATCCAATAACGTTCTAAGATGTTTTCAAGATTAGAGTTTTATTGGCCCACAAAAGATAGGCAAACTAATTTAAATTAGTCGAAACTAAAGCTGTAAAATAAATGTAGTGGAGAACACTATAAGTCCCCCTTCTAAATTTGCTTTTGTGTTGTGCAGGTATCACTATAACAGAGAGAGCGCAAGAGAGAGCAGTGTAACTGAACACAACTAGTTTAAGTTTTTTCTTTATAGCTTTGTTGCTGTGGATCAGAGCAGCTGGAAAAAGAGTTTTTATATTTATACTTGCTGATCAGGTTACTGGAGAGAGGCCTCTAACCAGCTTTTAATCCTTTAAGTTTTTAACTCTTTCTTCCATGACAACATCACTTTACCTTTAATGATGAGTTTTGACACATCAGTATATATCAATAAAGATGTGCCGACCATGGGAACAGTTTCTGGGTTTTTCCAAAGGTACAAAGGCACAGACTAACCTCACTAACGTTTGATGCACACCCAGTCATTTTGTTTTATAAGCAGGCCTGAAATATGACAAAAACCTCCCACTTCATAAAAGAGGTTCAAAGGTTACTCTTCATTACTGTCAAGAGGTAAAGCGATAATAACATTTACAGCAGCAAGCACTGTTATTGTTGCTCCGAGAAAAATGTTTTTTTTTTGTTTTGTTTTTTTACCCCGGGTTGTGAGGTAGCAGCCTTGAATTTGCTGGGTGTGTCAGAGAAAAGAGGCTCCACCATTCCCATAAACTACAGGCTTTTCTCATTTCTGTAAATTGTTCCTCCTCATGTGCTCCAACCTACAGCCTACAACCAGAACACAATACACCATGATGACGGATGTCCTAATTCCTAAAAGCAGGGGAGGCCGGTTGGAGGAACAAAAAAAAATTGAAAAGACACAGATGATCTGCCCTTCACTGTTTCTGTGTGAGGTTTATTATTGTGTTACATTGGAAATTGTTATGAATTTAATTAAATGTGGCCCTAAATATAAACATGTCAGGCACACTGTCTGATATCATAAAGTCCTCGCCATCTCCGACAGGAGAGGACTAAGACCCAAAGAGAAATGAGATACGACAGCTGCTATGTTATCAACCAGTTATTTGCACATAAGCACTCTCTTGAGTCAGTTTGCTTAACAAAACTGATTGCTCGCTGAATAGGCAAACAGCCAGACAATTAATTTACTCATTTTATTTATTTATTTTTTTTAAACTGGCCATTGTTTATGTCAGTTATTGCCTGCATTTAAGCACATCCCATAATGGAGCTGTAGAAGTACATCTGACTATAAACCAACAGCTATCTCCCGCCTGCTGCTCTGGTACCTGATATCAGTGAGCAGTCACCGACCTTTATACTCTGGAGTGAACTCTTTCATCTCAGGAGGCAGGGACTCGTAGAAGCGCTGCTCTCTGCTGATGAGAGGCTTACACACCGTGTGGTCATCATAACGCATCATACTGGTGTGACCGCCCACCTGAAAACACAAACACATGCAGAACACATACATAAAAAGAGCTAACAGGCAAAACAAAAAGCTAAATGTCTTAACAAAGAGACGATATTTACAACTGCTGCCTCTTTACAAGAATATTAAAAAAAATGTTACACCACAATTATACCAGTAAGTGCTTTAAATTTACATGTAGTATGAACAACCTCTTAATATTTTTGTTTCTGAATGTTTGGCAGTTTTCCTAATGCAAACATTCCTTTTTTAGATAAAGACTTTTCACCCACTGTTAGCACTCACCTGGTGTATAAAAGGCTCCAGTGGAACGCCTCCTGCTCGTGGTCGTAGTGAAGCCCCTCCCCCTGTGCCCGCCCCCTGCAGCTTGCTGTCCATGTTGTTGGTGTGAGGGAGGCACATGGCTCCTGGCGGACGCACCGCGCCTCCTCCTGTAGATAAGAGGGAGATTTAACCATGAGGAAACAGCCGAAAAGTCCTGAACTCCTGCTGTAGTTTCAATACTGATAAAGCGAATTAATTTATCTTTGGAGTAATAAAGTTCAATATTGCACTATATTGAATACTGAACTCCACATTTTAAAAAACGTCATATTTTGCATATAAAAATGAGTTCCTTGTGATTTTTTCAGTACTGTCTCAGTAAAACCTAAAATGAAACTGCTTTGTGGAAAATCTGTACTTCATGTCCATCAGTTTGTACAAGTTTTTACATGTTCCATTAAGTCTACTGCTTTTGGTATACCGAGGAATTCCTGACTCAGAATTAGCCTTCAGAGGTGACTCCACATAACAGTAAATGCAACTGTGTTATTTGATAGAAGCTTTGTAATTGGTGACTTACAAAACAAACATCCTACATGATAAAACTCATGCAGTTTTCTTTGGCAGGGAAGATGTTTCACTACCAGTATTTTACACAAGTAATAGGGTAAAAATATACATCTGCATAGTTGCATTTAAAATTACAAAGTTAAGTTTTAGAGTCATTCTTGTCAGCCAAAACCTTTCATAATTTTCTCACCTGGATGGGCCTTTTAATATCTGGCATCTGGCAAACTGGCCGTTTATGAGCTTATTAATTTTATTTTGTGGGGTGACCAGAACAACATCAACAAAAAAACAAACAAAAACATTCTCTTATAGTGTGCATTGTTACAGCATGTCCTTTCACCCTCTGTGGGAAGCCTGTCTCCCCTCTTAGAAAGCTGACAGATCGAAAGTGAGGTAACATTAGTTAATTACATAACAAGCGCAAACCTCTAAAGAGCTGACTATGAACCATTAGTTTAACTCTGAACAACACACTTTAGCCTCAGCTGTCTCTGGGCTGTGAGTTTACACGTGAATATAGCCAAGACTTGAAGTGACAGGAAATTTCAGTCAGACAACCTCTTTGTTATAAAATCTGTGTGTTATCTGTCCATGAAGCCAGATAACACACACCAATTAGTTAAACTGAAGGAATGTCTTAAAGACATAAAGACCTGGATGGCCGCTAACTTTCTGCTTCTTAATTCAGATAAAACTGAGGTTATTGTACTCGGCCCTGAAAAGCCTAGAAATATGGTATCTAACCAGATTCTTACTCTGGATGGCATTTCCTTGGCCTCCAGTAACGCTGTGAGGAACCTTGGAGTCATTTTTGACCAGGACATGTCCTTCAATGCACATATTAAACAAATATGTAAGACTGCGTTCTTCCATTTGCGCAACATCTCTAAAATTAGAAATATCCTGTCTCAGAGTGACGCTGAAAAAGTAGTTCATGCATTTATTACTTCCAGGCTGGACTACTGTAATTCATTATTATCAGGATGTCCAAAAAACTCACTGAAAAGCCTTCAGCTAATCCAAAATGCTGCAGCAAGAGTCCTGACAGGGACTAGAAAGAGAGAGCATATTTCTCCTGTTTTGGCTTCCCTTCATTGGCTTCCTGTTAAATCCAGAATTGAATTCAAAATCCTGCCTCTCACATACAAGGTCTTAAATAATCAGGCCCCATCTTACCTTAATGACCTTGTAGTACCATATCACCCTATTAGAGCACTTCGCTCTCGCACTGCAGGCCTACTTGCTGTTCCCAGAGTATTTAAAAGTAGAATGGGAGGGAGAGCCTTCAGTTTTCAGGCCCCTCTTCTGTGGAACCAGCTTCCAGTTTGGATTCAGGAGACAGACACTATCTCTACTTTCAAGATTAGGCTTAAAACTTTCCTTTTTGCTAAAGCACATAGTTAGGGCTGGACCAGGTGACCTTGAATCCTCCCTTAGTTATGCTGCAATAGACGTAGGCTGCCGGGGGGTTCCCATGATGCATTGAGTTTTTCCTTTCCAGTCACCTTTCTCATTCACTATGTGTTAACAGACCTCTCTGCATTGAATCATATCTGTTATTAATCTCTGCCTCTCTTCCACAGCATGTCCTTTATCCTGTCTTCCTTCTCTCACCCCAACCGGTCGCAGCAGATGGCCGCCCCTCCCTGAGCCTGGTTCTGCCGGAGGTTTCTTCCTGTTAAAAGGGAGTTTTTCCTTCCCACTGTCGCCAAAGTGCTTGCTCATAGGGGGTCAAAATGACTTGAAGGTAAAAACTGATTTACTTTAGATTTATTGTCAATTTGGCTGCATTAAAACACCATCGAATAGAGGGCATAAAGCAGGACAGACACAAACCTATTTAATGTTTGCTACATACCACTCATAAACTAAACACAAACCAGTTTCCTCATTGTTATGGGGACACTGTTATTGGAAATTAAAGTGTGCACGATATAGACCGGCACTGATCCTGAAATATAAAGATGTGTCACACACAAGAGAATGTTGACAACTATGCATTAAAACTACAAGTAAAAAAGAACAAAAAAAAAAATTGTAATCAGAATAAAAGTCAAATACCAGAACACTGCAGCTGATCCAGCACCTGTGCAAAACACACTGGCTGTGGATGGGAGGAGAGCTGGCTGCTAGAAGCTAGAAAACATCTGTGGAGTGGCTGAAGGTTTTTTGTTTTTTTTTCCCCCTTGGGGGGGGGGGGGGGGATTAAATTATCATCATCAGTAGCAGCAGTAGTAGTAGTATTTAAATTGATTTGAAGGGTGCCAAAATGTAAAAACAGTCCATAAATATTAAAGAACTGATAATAAAGGGCAAAGAACAAGAAACAAGACGAGATTTAAGACAGGTGGGAGGAGTTTAGAAATGTCATTGTAATGACCTGAATGAATGAGCAAATTTTTCTAATACGTCCCTCTTACACCATTTATAAAAAAAAAAAAAAAAAAAATAGCTACACACGCTGACGAGTTGGAGAAAGATGAGGATATCCCAAAGCTTGCTGCTGTATTTTTCTTCAGCAGTTAGGAAAAGGGTGGAGAGGACTGACTAGAGTTGGAGTTGGGCTTGTGCTGCAGTTATTGTTTAAAAGTGTTAAGATTTATTGGGAAGAGCCCATAACTCCAATACTCAAATAAAGATAAGCAACAAATTCACATTCCTTTACATCTTTGCCAGTGCTACCCCTCAGCGTTCTAGTAGATACACCTATGGTATCAATTTGAAAATCCTAAGCCACCTTTATTCTCCAGTTATTGCAGTCACAAGATTTTAAGAACACCTTCCTCGTTTCCTCTGACCTTGAGGCCAAGGTCTCTGAGATTTGAATGTCCGAGATTTGTAGTAAATGGACCTATGGTATTGGCCACTTGGTTATGGCGTTCCATGTATGCCCTGCCTGCTAGCATCTTGCACCATGCTGTTATGTGCTGGATTGTCTCAGGGGCATCTTTACACAGCCTGCACCTGGGGTCTTGCCTGGTGTGATAGACCCCAGCCTCTATGGATCTTGTACTCAGAGCTTGTTCTTGTGCTGCCATGATTAGTGCCTCTGTGCTGTCTTTCAGTCCAGCTTTGTCCAGCCACTGGTAGGATTTCTGGATATCAGCCACCTCCTCTATCTGCCGGTGGTACATACCGTGCAGGGGCCTGTCCTTCCATGATGGTTCCTCGTCTCCCTCCTCTTTCTTGGGTTTCTGCTGCCTGAGGTATTCACTGAGCACTCGGTCAGTTGGGGCCATCTTCGTGATGTATTCTTGGATGTTTGTTGTCTCATCCTGGACTGTGGTGCTGACACTCACCAGTCCCCGGCCCCCCTTCCTTCTGCTTAGCGTACAGCCTCAGGGTGCTGGACTTGGGGTGAAACCCTCCATGCATGGTAAGGAGCTTTCTTGTATTGATGTCAGTGGCTTCTATCTCCTCTTTTGGCCAACTTATTATACCAGCTGGCTACCTGATCACGGGCAGGGCGTAGGTGTTGATAGCCCAGATCTTGTTCTTACCGTTCAGCTGACTCCTCAGGACTTGCCTGACCCTCTGCAGGTACTTGGTGGTTGCAGCTTTCCTAGCTGCCTCTTCATGGTTCCCATTCGCCTGCGGGATCCCCAAGTACTTGTAACTGTCCTCTATGTCTGCAATGTTGCCTTCTGGTAGCTCGATCCCCTCAGTTCTGACTACCTTCCCTCTCTTTGTTATCATCTGACTACACTTCTCCAGTCCGAATGACATCCCGATGTCATTGCTGTATATCCTGGTAGTGTGGATCAGTGAATCGATGTCTCGTTCACTCTTGGCATACAGCTTGATGTCATCCATGTACAGGAGGTGGCTGACAACTGCTCCGTTCCGTAGTCGGTATCCGTAGCCAGTCTTGTCAATGATCTCACTGAGGGGGTTCAGGCCTATGCAGAACAGCAGTGGGGACGGAGCATCTCCTTGGTAGATCCCGCACTTGATGGCGTGTGTGTGTGTGTGTGTGTGTGTGTGTGTGTGTGTGTGTGTGTGTGTGTGTATGTATAACTTTGCCAAGAGGACTGAAGGAGATGGTCTACTGTCTGAGCAACAGCTACCTCAAATCAATCTAGAGAAGGACCCAGTCTCCATAAATTTATTATAAACATGTAACAAAGTTAAATATAAAATGTTAAGAACATGACACCATATAAGCAGCAGGTTTGGTTAAAATATTGGGTAATACATCGGCTCTGATATCAAACTTTGAGACTGATGAGCTCCTAATAGAGGGAGTTTTTGCAGAAAGAGCCGAGTAATAGGCGGATAATTCAGTAATTAGATCCTTCGGTGATTACATTGGTGTGGTTTAACTGGTTGCTAGGGTAACACAGTGAACCATAACACTGGAAAAAAGGTTTAATCAACCTTCATTAACTCAGACAGCCGTGGCAAATAGCCAAGAGAGACACCCACCTCTTGTCCTTGCTGTTTACATGAACATCAGGGGCCACATTTATACTGAAACCGTCTGAATGGGCTAAAACGTTTTAGTCATTTCTACTGCGGTATACGTTTGTGCTTTGTATTTTTAAATGGTTCACATTTTCTTCGTTGTGAATTTTTCAGTCTACACTGGTGAATTCATCTTCACAACTCTCAGGCTAATAGGGGCAAAAACAAGGAAGTGGTTTTGATGAGATGTCTGCTTTGATGCACAGAGAGGAAACTGAACTACAGGTGTGAATGCTAAAAACTCATCCTTTGATCGTACCCTGGGCATGGGCTCGGGTGTGCAGTGACGGGGACGGGGGGGCGCAGGGCACCACGGGCTGCTGGGAGCGCACGCCGGCCCCGGGGGGAGGCGGCGCCAGACCGAAAAACCACCTCGCAAAGCCCCCAATCAGAGTGCTCCAATCCACCGCCGGCACCACGGAGATCCAATCAGGACACGGGGCTGGGGGGCAGAGATGGGGGGACGGCAGGGAAAGCAGGGTGTCAGTTAGGCAGGGTCACCACTTCCTGAAAAGATAGGAAATGACACAATGTCAGTTGTAATAGTTAAGCATTCATTTAAGGTGTACAGTGTTATTTTGTGTGGGGAGAATTGGCTTTCTTTAATGTGATGACTCAAAAACAAACAAAAAAAAACAACGACTATTGTTAGTGACAGTTCTCTTCAAATATTTCACTTCTTCACATCATTTCTGTGACTGACAAAAACATGACATCAGCTCTAATGGGTCAGAAGCTGGGCTGTCAACTTGCACAATATACTTTTTCACTGGCCTCGGCTCATCAGCTTTTGTCACACCCTATGAATAGCTTTTATATCTTTAAACGTGGAGTTCATTGGAAGTGGAGGACTGGGAGTATCCTTCTAGGAAGACGAAAAAAGAAAAAAAAAATCCCATAAACAATGTATTAGATTGTTCTTGAGGAAAAAAAAACCCCCAATGTTCTCATTTACAACAACTCCAATCAAGTGAATCTGAACTCGCCTTATAAAACAGCATTTCCTGGACAAGCTGCCACAAACAGTTGACATCAAATGCTTCAGCACATCAGCTTCCACCAAACTGTCACACACATGCACGCACGCGTTTTATGTCTCAATGAGTGGGATAAGAAAAATCCTGTTAATAACATTGTACTTTAAGTTTTATTACTGGCTATAGAAACCGTGTACATCATACTGCTAAGTGGTCATCTCATATATCTGGAGACCTTCCAGTCAGTTGTTTTTTGTTGTGTTTTAATCTATAAATCTCTGCTTGGCTGGGTTATTTCTTATCTGTTTCTATATGTGTAAACACCACAACAACTAGTATAGCCTACACTCTCATATTGTTATATGAATGTTTGTCTCCAGAGTCACAACGGAATAATCCTGAAATAATCTACAAAAGCAGATGAAATTATCAGAATTGGTTATGATGGGGGGAGATTAAGTCAATTTTACAGGAGAACAAGAGACTAGCTCTTTTGGTCAGTGTGAATGCTTTGATGTCTCTCTCATAATTTTTTTTAAAGTATAATAAATACAAATATATAATGGGCAACTCCTGTGGCATTTTCCATAATTATTTCTTCACTTCTGAACCTTTTCTGTCAGGAAGTTTAAGTATTGACACGATGAAGTCCATTTACTGAAGGATCATCCCCAAAAAGAACATCTCTGTTTAAAGATACCGTACTGATTTTCCTTAAGTGCTCCACACTAATACATTATGTACATTATGATTGAGGATTATTTTCTCATTCACAAAAACATTGCTCAGTAGAATAAAATAAAATCAAAGGCTTGTTTTTCTAAACAAAGACTGTTAAATCCATGACGTGACAAGATGTGACAGTTAGTACTTTAAAATGTAGCTCTCATTTTTTTTCTGTTATGTGAAGCAAAGCAAAAAGACCAAAAAACAAAAACAAACAAACAAACAAACAAAACCAAATGTCTGTCCTGGCTCAAAAAAATTACAGTAAAATAGTCTGTGTTATCTAGTTTTAACAGAGATCAATACATTTTCCTGTTAAGGCCATTTAAAACAAAACAAAAAACAAAACAACCCAGTTGATTCTGAGGGTAGCGGAATCAGGGGGAACTTTTGTTTCAGATTTAAATGATTAATGCTGATACGGTTTAATTTTATTCTTAGGATGTTAGAGGCCAGATTGGGATGATCTGCAGGCCAGTTCTGCCCCTCAGACTTTTTTTGCGCTATACCACATGTTCTATAGCACCAGGAGACTGAAAACGCGGTGTATAGTCATTGCACATAATGATGGTGTCTATAATAAAATCAGCAGAATAATCAATTTAAAAAAAATTTTTTAAACTGCCGCTTGCAGCCCTGTGCAGACATTCAGCTCAATACATGAGAGCCTGTGAGAGAAATGTGGATGCTGCCAGTAACGATAAACACCAGTTTGGATTTATGCAATTACAGCATAAACACAGCTTTAACAGTACAAAACCAGACTTTGTTTTTAACCACCATGATAAAAGTCCTGTTCATAAACATGTCAGAGGTTAAACTACTGTTCAGGATCCAGCGTCAGTCTGAGAGGCATTTATTGTGACTTTATCATAACTTCAATTCTTCTGTAATTTAACAAAACAGAAGAGGGAAAACCTACAAGCGAGATGTTTGAGTAAGAAGCTACAGACACCCGGCGATTACCAAAAATCCTGAAAACCTCAAACATCTAACATGTCATCAAGGTAAGAAATACCTTCAGCTTAAAACGCACTCGCATTGGGCCCACATCACAGGAGTGGATCACAACTGCTCACCACACAGCGCACAAATTTAACCACGATGGGACAGCCTGTTCTCAAGTCACGATCCAACCTCGACCAAGCGTGAGCTTCAGATACAGGCTGGAGTGCACAGCCACACACACAGAAACCCTCACACAAAACCTTACACACACACAGAGTGTAAACAGTATTCCCCATGAGCAATGAATTCTAACATTAGAAGCAAAACACAAACATCAGGCCACATCTGTTCTGTCCTGGGATTGGTGAACTCGTCCTGATGATTCAAATCTAACTTTCCACTGCTACAATCCAACAGTTTGAAAAGAAAACATTAAATAATCCTAACTTTGAATTTTCCAAAATTGTCATTCAAGATGCGTTAGATTTATTTGGTCCAAAAAATGTGACTACTTTTTTAATATCATAACTAAATTGCTACATTACTTTAGCATGCAAAAGTAACGTACATCCTGAATGTTAATTACTGTTAAAACCTATCCCTTTGAACCAGAAATTGCAGTGTCATTTTTTTAACCAAGACTGGATGACTTTTGAAAAATGAAAAATGGTTTTTTTTTTGAAAAATGTTCTTATAATTATAATATTGTAATTTTATTATTAATAGGACTAGTGCTGCTGTATTTTTGGCAGCTTTACACCATTTCAACTGTGCATCTTTGTACTTTAGAGTGATGAATACGCTGAAACAGATGGATCCATTCAAAATACAGCTGCAAACACACCTCTAACAAATGTCTTATCATGTAATTTAAACTCTTGAATTGATTAAAAGGAGACTGTTATATCAACAATGAAAGACAGTGTCGCTATACCCCTTGTTTGTTGACCCTTCTGGTTGGTGGTCTGCTCTCTGTTAGTAGCTCTATATGCATCCAAGGTGAATCCCCAGCAGAAAAACAATAGGTGTACGTCCACCGAGCAGTGTCTTGTAAGCAGTTTGAGCTGGGTGGGGGACAAAATCAAGGTCAACTCCCGCTCCTCTTTCTTATCATTCTCCTTCCCTTCAAATCCCCCATTTTTGTCTCCTTCCCTATTTCAGCCCTCATCTGTCTGAGATCTGCACAGTAAAATATAATGCAGAAGTTTCTACAGCTTTAGTACAACTTGGATTAGTGATTTGCTGTGTCATTCTGTGAAAAGGAAGGGCGCAACGGTAGGGAATGCACGAAGGAATGAAGGAGATTGGGAAGGAAGAGGTGTGGGTAGAAAGTCGGGGAGGGAGGGATGTTAGCTTGGAGGAAGAGAGGTTGGGTGGGAATCCAAGACAGGAGGAAAGAGGGCGAATGCTCTGATGGACGTATCAAGGCTGTGTGTTGTTTTCATATGGTTTTGTGTATCTATGTATACTTTCTACATGTGGCTCTGATTAGACAGAAAAGATATGTGACAGTCTGGAGGATTTTCAGAAATAATTGTCTGCTGTGTGTCGTTGGTGCTCTGTCTATCATCTGTCACTGTAGCAAACTCCAGGAGGAGGTGCTGAATTTTTTCCACAGTCCAAACAAATAACTCCATCTCTAATCAGCCCCCTGTGTCATGCCAGGTGTGGTGAATAACTCCAGCAGACAGCCAATCAGCTTAGAGGATCTCTGTGAGTATAGCCTACATCACTAGCCATTAATGTGACAACGCTGCAGGCTCACTACGACTCAGCAACGTTGATTGGTTAAGCTGCTATTTCGAACGCTGATTAAACTGCTATTTCTGACTGAGTGACGGTGTGTTTGTGTGTGTGGGAATCCTCGTGTCCTTCATGAAGTTAGAGATGAGAGAGCCAATTAAGGACTTCCAGGAATACCTAAGAGTAGATGGACACAACTCGGCACCTTGTTGTTGGATTTAAACGGTTGTGCAAGTCCAGTGAAAAGACAGCTGTACCAAACTCAGCACATATTTGGGCAGTTAGTTTTGAAAATTTATCTGAATGAACTTTATTTAGTCATTTACCTTGACATAAAACTGCTCATGCAGAATCAAAACCAATTTTAAAAAGAAAAAACAACAACAACAACAACAACTTTGCTGTTTACATTTTTAGTTCTTTTTTTTGTCTGTTTTTATGCATAGATTAGAAGGTTTTGTCTTTTTAAGTGAATTATTCTAGTTATATAAATAAATACAAACACTGGTGATCCAATAAAAGGCTGAGCACATCATGAATGAACTTTTTTTAAATTTAGATCAACAATTAATTTAACTCAAGCTTTAACAAAGAGTTAAAAGAGTTTCTAGCACTAATCAATAATGGTAAATGAGCTAAACCACCAACATTTGTGATCAGAACTGGACTCGCTGATATTTTTACTTAATCGGCTTTCAACTCTAGCTGTGTTATTTTTTAGATAATAGGTGTAAGTTTGTTTAAAAAGATGAGCTCTGGTCTACACAGGTGTGTTACTGGTTACCACTGGGTAACCAAAAAGTGCAATTCCTATAATGACCATTTGAGGCTGGCTTCAAAAGAGAACGATTCTCTACAGACTGCCATGTTAAAACAACTGAAGTAAACATGTTTATAGAGTGGTACAAAAAACAGTTTAGGCTTCTGTGGATAGTTTCACCCTTCATAACAACTGTACAGGGGATTTCATTATTTATTTTTCTATTCTTCGAAAATATGGATACTGGAGTTAGGAGAGTAGTTTTGTTTGAGCTGGAAGGTGTCTGATATGCTTCACTTCCATCAATCTGAATGGGACATCTGTTGGACTAGACCCCTTCTGTGCCGCTGGTT